CTGTGGCGGCATCCCACGTAAACTAGAGGAAGATTGGCACAGATGTTAGCTCAGCAGCAATCTTCCTCATGCAAAAAGAGGAAGATTGGCAACAGATGTTAGCTCAGGGCCAATCTTCCTCACACACACTAAAGAAGTTCTTACTATAGGCGTTGAGGTTTTTGATTGCTCAGAAATCAAAATTGACATTAGTACTCAGTTAAGATCTATATTTCAAACAAAATCTCTTCCTTATTTCTGATGTGGTAGATGGATTTTCCTGATTTTGGAAGGAAATTAGAATTATTTAATCTTGCCTCTTCATTTTATATGGGCACAGAGAGGTTAAGACATTTACTTAAACTTACACAGTGAGTCATACAGAAGACATACTCGAAAAAAGGGCATGGTCACGTAATGGGAGACCAGTGTTTAATAGCTTGTGTTTTCTGTTAGGATGTTTGCATTTCCTCCAGCTAAATAAAGAGCTAGATTTATTACAAAAATACAACTTAAGCCCTAGTTTAACCACACGAAGTTGTTGAAAACCTGAGAGTCAGAGCGAGGTAGCTTTGAGAACAGCACATACAGGTCCACGGTGTGGCCTGGTCTTACTGCAAATCTTCTCTCACCAAAATCATCTTGGCACTGTATTTGTGTTGGTTTTCATTAGAGGTCACTTCTTAAAAAACACTTCAAGTCTTTTTTAACAATGCTGTTTTCTGAAAGTGAGCATCGCCTAGTTTAATAATCCCTGAATTTACTCTGATGCTTTAAATCTTTGTAATCATTGCACTCTGAAGGTAAGTTAGCAACTAGCACTGAACAACAGAAATGTGTTAATCTCCAGTGTGCATTTAACACTTCTAGAGACTTCCTTTATTGCCTGCAAGGGCTGTGAAGAAATGAGAATCTTAACTTCCACAGTTGTTCTTTTGATTACTTAAAAGCAAGTTGATTAAACCAGTGAAAAATACGCATATTTGGAGTTCTAGTTAGAATTCTCTATTTTGTTTTTTATCTAAATGACAAAATTAGACTGGCTGGTCCATAAAAACTTGACTTTGAGTATTTGTTGTTCTGATAAGAATTAGATTCACATCTGTATCAAAAAGCATAGAATTACTAACTATTTGTGAAATGTTTATGACGATTGTTTTGGACTACCTGTATATTTATAATATTTTAACACCAAATGTATGGTAATTTGGTTTCACAGTAGCCTGGAATAATTCATGTGTAAGACATAGCTTAAAGCAAGTAGACAAATCAGGAGGGACTCATGTGGCTATTCAAAGACGCCACTGAGTCTGGAATTCACAGCTTGGTAAATTCTCGCTCATTTCAGAAGTGTGAGCCACTAGTATTGTTTATTTTGAAGATTTATTTTCCGAAATCATGTCTACTTTAAATGAACTCCAACGAAAGCCATACCTTATCTTAGGCTAATTATGGACAGACATGTTCTAGAGAACCAGGCCATCCTAGGAATGTTGCTCTTACAGTACTGAAACTGTAATATCTTATCCCAGAACACCTGGACTATTACCCTCTCTCCTCCTCCCCATTCCCCAGCTAATGGAGAACATAATTACCTTTGGGGTTTTATTTTTGTGATGAAATTCATGACCTCTTTAAAATTTGGCAAGGTTCCATAGCTGGGAGGGAGTTTTGCACAATTTTCTACCAACATTGATTACACAATAGTGAAAAATCTTTATCTTGCTTGTACGCTAGATCTGCCTGGGCATTTTTTCCCCATTATTTTGGCAGAACAGGAAGTAACTGACAGCAGTGCAGAGAACTATTAAAACAATTTGACCTTCACCATATACCCTTCTAAATGTGAATGGACAATTGGACTTTGTGTTTCTAATTGTCTACAGATGTTCTGTCCTGTGAGTCAGAAGGAAAAACTTGTTTTTATCATTTTGTAAAGTTCTTTTTTTTTTAAGTAAATTGGGTAACTGTTTTCCCTACTGGTAAATAAGTATTTAAATATAGCTGAGGGCAATTTATCTTTGATAAAGCCATTTTGTTAGAAATATATGTTGGAAAAAATTACCTTATATTTAGGGAAACAGCATACTGTAATTTCTGGCTAACCAGGGAGTAGTCAAGAGCAGGTGAATATAGTACACACAGAAAAATGGCATCAGGCTGAATTTCGCATCATGAGAGCTCATGCTGTGAATATGCTGCATAAAAATACGTGTTATCTTTTTGCTTCCCTCTCCCCCCGCCTTTTCTTAAGAGAGAGACTTTTAAAAATTATGTCCTTGAAACTTCTGAAAATTGTCATTTTCACATTGAAAAATCTGTGATTCCCATGAACTACAAAAGGGTGTTTCTCATGCTGTCACTCACAAACTTACAAAAACTTATTTTAGATGTCAGTGACATAAATTCTCTCTAGAGACGGAAAATAATTCTAATTCTTCCCCCACACCCCTCCCCTGACCATCGTCAACATGACTATGCATGGTCGTGAGTCCAATAGAATAATCTAATATATTTCTAGAGCCTACCTACGGTCCTTTTGTGTGAGGGCTCTTTTTAAAGAGAATGGAACAGTACCTGTTGGTTATTTGTAGCTTGGTTAAGGCAAAGAAAGATAAGCTTTCACTGAGAGGATTTGCTCTTGACATCTGTGCCAGCTCAAATGCTGTAGTAATTGGGAAAACATGGCGTTTCACTTTTCACTTCTCATGTATGGAAGTATATTCAGAAAGGCAGAGTAGGTCACTGCCTCGGTGAGGGGCTAGGAGTGACGAGACAGATCGCTGGACCTTCTAATTCTGTAATTACTTCCTTAGACTTTTGTGTCTCTGCACATGTGCTTGTGGTGTTTTTGTTTGTTTGTTTGTTTTTAACTCTAGGGATGTTTTTCATAAAATTTTGTGTGACGTTTCTGGGCCAAGAGCGAGGCAGCAACAGCCAGCCTTGCGGTGATGACATTGAGCACCTAGTGTTCCTACCCCGTCACATGCCACCCCCCACTGTCGTCCAGCTGAGTACAGAACAGGATGGCTGGCTGGTTGTGTGGCGTGAGCTCAACCTTTATAAATTGCAGCTTCATTCCGGTTAGCAGGAGCGATATCATTCCTCTTCATCAAGTGATATTCATTTACACCCTCGTGGCCTTGACAGCTTGGCAGGTGCCCTGGGGACTTTTAAGATGAGATGCAGTTCAAGGGCAGCGATGCCCTGTGTTCTGTATAGCCGGCTCTTACTTGGAGCCTGGGGTCTCAGGGGATTGGTCAATGGTGAGTGCATCTCCTCTGAGTGAATGTGCAAACGATTTCTGAAACCAGGCTTTGGTGCCTTCTAAAAGGGGGAGTGAAAGGGGGAGTTTCTACAGGTTCGGCAGTGATGTGGGATATTTAACGACTTGACCTCATTGGGATCATGTGTAGTGCAGATATATCTGTAGTTTCCGTGATACCAAGCAGGACCTGCAAGAGATTTGGTGTGTATGTTGGAGCATCCTGGGGTCCCAGCTGTGAGCTGGAATAAAATGCAGCATTATGGAGCATCAACGTAAGAGGACTTTAGAAATTTTATCCAATATTTGTTAATCCCTTACTTTACACCTGCCTAGCATTCTGCTTGGCACCAGGAAGATGGAGTGAATTATACGTGGTCTCTTCCATCTAAGAGCAGACAGGCTTATAGGAGAGACCAAACATCTGAGCAGTAACAGTAACAGACTGTAGGACCACATGGAAAAGTGGTCAGTTCTCCATGGGTGTTAGATCAGAGCACGAGAGGTGGTGGAAGCCTTGAGAAAGGTTTTGGACAGGAGGCGAGGCTTGAATTAAATCTTGAAAGATGAGTAGGTGGGGCAGGAGGACAATATTGCGGAATGACATACCCGGAAGGGAAAGAGTGTGAACAAGTTTTGGGACTGTGAAAGAGCTTGGTACACATTGAAACTGCAAGCAGAGATAACGGCTTGAGTCTAGGAGCAAGAGAGGGCATGCACAGAGAAATAGGCAGACCCAAATCGTAGAGCCTGGCCTTCCTGCCGAGCTTGGCACTTTATCCTGTAGTTCCTGAGGAGCTGCTGGAAATGTTTATGCCGGAGAATGACATCGTGGAATTTACACTGTGAATCTTCACTCCGTGAAGGATGGGTCTGAGGAGGAGGTTGATGCATGGAAACCAATCAGGAGACCATTACAATGTCTAGGTGAGAGATGATGCTGATCTAGACTAGAGGAGGAGCTGAGGGGTGGGGGTGGAGAGCAGCAGAGCGTAACTTCCAGAGCAAGAGAGGAGAAGGACGAGCAGGGCCAGTAAGTCTATAGAAGATTAAAAATGTCTCGGCCTCCATTGTGCATGTGTCAGGAGGTGGTTCCAATCAACCATTAATAGAGTGCTAGTCTTCCAAAGCAAAGAAGACACCATCCTCATACCCTATAGTCTTGCTTGTAAAATGTGTCTATAGGTCCAAGGTTCCCAGCCCTCTGGTGAGAAGTCCATTTTAAATAGTGCATCCGAACAGTGTATTAATATGCATAGTTTTTCACTGTAAAATGAAGAATGCGTTGTCTTCTGTTTAGAGGCTCTGTGGGATAGTGACTGAACAGTGGGCGGGGAGTTGGTGCCGAGTGTTAACTCTGGCACCTGCAGCCTTAGACAACTGACTTAACTTTCCTGAGCCTCAGTTTTCTGAACTGTAAATATTAGACTAGTAATATAGTAATATTGCCTCATGGGTTTGCTATGAGAATTAAGTAAGATTGAAACATGTGAAAGCAGCGGCCAAAGACGAGCCAAGGAACTACCGAATGCTACTAACATCCTTCTTTTGTCTCTTTTCTCTCCTCAGAAGATGTTGCATTTTCCTTTTCTTGTCTGTGCTAAGCCTTACTTGGTGCGGGACCTGGAGACCAGCATAAGAACGTACCTGTGTCGTTGTCCTTCCTCACATTTAAATTCCTTCAGGCGAGTTCACACTAAGCGCTTGATTTCCTGGGGAAAGGCGTTTATTCTTTCTCTCTTTGCTTCCCATACAGGACGTCAGCTGCAACGAGATCACAGCCTTGCCCCAGCAGATAGGGCAGCTGAAATCTCTCCGAGAACTGAACGTCAGAAGAAATTACCTTAAAGTTTTACCACAAGGTAAAAGAGAAAGGGGAAAAATAAATAGAATGGGAGACATTATTTTTTGTTCACTTTTGTGAAGTTGGGTCTAGTCATGTTTATGTATGCCTATTAATATTCAGTATAATTTGAGTTTCACGTGTAGGCAACAGAAAAATTACGTTTAGTTTTAGCCAAGGGTACAGAAACACAGTCATTGCCCTGGGTAAGACTGTGTGTGTGTGTGTGTGTGTGCGCGTGCACGTGCACTAGTTTACTTAGGCTCCCATAACAGTACCACGGACTGAGCAGTTTAAACAACAGAGATTTATTTCTCACGCTTCTGGAGGCTGGAAGTCTGAGATGAAGGTGTGGGCTGGTTTGGTTTCTCCTGAGCCTCTCTCCTTGGTCTGTAGGTGGCCGTCTACTCCCTCTGCCTTCACGTCATCCTCCCTCTGTGTCTGTGTCCTAGTCTCCTCTTCTCATAAGGTCACCAGGCATCTTGGATTAGGGCCCACCCTAATGGCCTCATTTTAACTTAATTACTCCTTTAAAGACCCTATCTCCAAATACAGTCACATTCTGTACTGAGGTACTGGGGGTTAGGACCCTAACATATGAATTTTGGGGGCACACAGTTCAGCTCATAGCAGAAGGCAGAGTAAATGGTTTTGGGGATGGATGTATGATTTTCTGGAACATCAAGCCAAAAGTTTAGTTGACATGTTTGGTCCTGCAGATCCAGCTGTCGGGGGTTCTGGCCTTGTGGATCTGGGAGCTCTGGTGGGGAACCCCTTGTATCTAAAATCTGTTCCTCAGGCGAGGGCACTGCCCCTGCTGAAGTGATTCTTGGACTGAAATCACATAGTTTTGGTGAATTTCTCCCAGTCTAGAAGCAAGGATGTCTCCAGAGCCTCAGCTTTGAGACTCGGTGCGTCCCCAGGCAGCCCTGCGCAGGAACCAGACTCGGGCAAACCCTTCTCTGCAGCCGTGGGCTTCCACAGTGTGTCCCTCTGATACGTTATGTTGGAGCTTGAGTAAAAAGATATATTTATTCAGAAACTTTGTACCATTAGGAGCTTTGACAAGCTGCCTTGTCGGTGGTGGTGGATCTGAATTTCATTTTTTGGGATCCTCCTTTGGACCTGAATCAGGCATGAGTGGATGAGCTATAGAACTCAGAATGCTTTCTCCAAAGCATACTGCGATTTTCAAAGATCACATTGATTTCCATCCTTTTTGTTTAAGGACACTAGGCATGCTCGATTTCAAACATATATTTAAAAAGGTATCTCAAAGCAAAAGCATATATTTGGAAACAGTGAGCATTCACTTAATGTGATGCTAATGCGGCTGTTTGAGGGCTTCCTGATTTTTATTATTCTGTTCCTGCTTCTTGATCTTGGCCTTGAAAGTCTTCGTTATTGAAGGCAGACAGACAGAGCTCATGAAAGGGAAAGAACTTTATAATATGGAATGTGCTTCATAGATGGGAGGGTTAGGGGTCTGCCGGCCATCTTCACCTTCTCGTGCTGACTAGCATTTTAAAGAATTGAATTAGAAACTATCACAGCATGAAGATTCGTTGCTTTATTACTTGAGATGACTTAGTATGAAAGCACTGATTTTTCACTTTGTCATTGTGCATTCCCGTTTTTTGAATGGATGGAATTGTTTTTCTTGGTTTAAGCAAGTACAAAGGGAGAACTTACTCAAAGCAAATTTATAAGCATATAAACTTTCCTAGCATTAAAGAAAACTCTCATTTAGATTTAAGCTCTCATGTTAATCATTGAGAAATCATCACAAATCATTGAACTCTCATTTTCAAGAGGGAGTTTAATTTAATCATTTTACAGTTGTCTGGAATCATTTAGCAATGTGTGGAAAGAAAATGCATCTGCAGGTTTTTATTTCTCTCACCATTCCTTACTCTCTCACCTTAAAAGCATTCCTTTCCTAAAAAGATCAGTTACAAATTTCTATACTTTCCATAATTATGTTTTCTCAGGTTCAATATTTTTAGATACACTCAAAGCTAAAACTTCAGTTTACTGGAAAATCTTTTTTTTTTTTTTTTAATAATTTCCTGAATGTCAAGTTTCTTTTTTGCTTCCATCTGGAGAACGCTATTCACAAAAGAGCATTGATAATGCTTTCAGGCAGTGAATTTAAAGACTTTCTAAATTTCCATACTTGTGTCTCCTCCTTGAGTACCCCTCCTCATATGCTTCCAATTTGAGGAGGGAAAAAAAAGGTCTGTGGCCTAATTACCCGTGTCAATTTTGCGGTGGTTTTCCTACAACTTCTGCATCAAGGAGACCATATTTTGTTCTTTCTAGGACCAGAATGGACAGAGGATTGAAGTAGCCATTTGTTGCCCCTCTATGCAAAGGAGAGAGAGAAGCCAGATTCCTTGTTATTTTTATTTTTTTCTTACTCCTTTTTTCTGCTCTGTTTCTTTTGACCTTTTCTGAGCTGGAGTAATCATTTCCCCTTCCATTTTCTTGTTGTGAAAGTGTCAGGTTTTAGTTTTCCCAAACTAAGATGATAATTGTGTTCCAAAGGGGCACTAAAAGGAATAGTCATCATGAAAACCATGGCTTATTTTATTTGCCAGGTCATTTACTTGTATTTTATTTACCTGTAGCCTCTCCCCCTCCTGCTGTGTCTTTCAGGAACCTAGCCCTCTAGTTTTGCTTTAAAACGTCTTCCTTTTGACTGGCAAAGAATTGCTGAAGATCCAGAGTCCAGTTAAAATTTGCCGACCTAACTTTAGTGAGCAAAGTTAACCATCTCAGAGACAGATTAATGTTACTAGCGATTACAGCAACGAGAGAGTCCTCTTATATATAATCTCCCTAACTGTTACCCCTGTTTTAGAAACAAACTATGCAATAAAAGGATCTTGTTTTCCCTTTTCCTTCCGCCTTCTTGATTCCATGCTGTCCTTCATATTTACACCCTCAGTCTCTTCTCCATCTCCTGCTGCTCCAAGAGCCTTCAAGGTGACCTCCAGGACTAGGGTGGCCTGTGGCAAATCACTTTTCCTATGCAGGGAGAGCTGGGTTGGAGTAGTGAATTCCTCAGGGCGATTTAAAAAATACGCTCCCTGAGTTTCTCCTACAAAGCTGCCTGTCACAGACCTGAATTTGGAACCCGCTGAGTTCAATGCTCTTCTGCCTCCTAGCATTTCAGTCCCATGACTTCTTTAATACAGAGCAGTTCACTAAGGTGTGAAAGAAGGAAAGTCCCTTGCACGCCCAGAGCGAGTGGAAATCAGAGAAGAGATACTGGTTGCTAAGTGCATCTTTGTTGGTGGAACTTGAAGGAGTGTATCTGAGTGAAGTGAAAACCCTTGGGTAGTGCGGCAGAGAATAGTGTTAATTCTTACTCCGGCCACTGTCATCAGCCCCTCTTCTTTATATGGTTCCTTTATACAGCACCTCCCCTTCCTCCACTTTGGAACTCCTTGAGTATTTGAAAGCACCGTACCTCACTCCTTACCAGGTCCGAAAACCAGCGAGGCGGGGCCCGGTTCTGAAATGAACCCTCTGTAGCCTCTCACACAGAGATCTCGGTGGTTTGCCCGGTGTCACCCTACATGTCTGGCTTTGCTCACCCTCTCTGCTCTATGGAATATATTTGACTTCGTTTCTTGCAGCTGCCAATGTCCGTTGGAATGCTTGAAATTACTGAGTGTTTACTATGCCACTGGGTGGGGATTTTAAGCTAAATATAATGTTCTGTCTTGTTTCTGGAGCTACAGAAGACTTTTTAAAAGCAGCACAATAAATCCTCATCAAATCGGGATTACAGGGTCCATTGCAGAATTCTGAATTAGATATCAGTTATTTTTTAAAGGGGAATTAAAAGATCCTGAACACATTTCTTGTAACTAGTTCGAGATTATGCCGGCCCAGATACATTGACTAGATAAGAATATTTTGTAATTAGCATATTATTCATATTAGCCAGTACTGCTTGAAAACATTTTGAAATTAAAACATAAACATGTCCTGTGTAGTATGGCTTATGTGATTGTTTTGCTGTAAGAAATCGTTTTAAACAATAGACGTAAATGTCAGCGTTTCCAGCTCTAATCAGAACTAACAACAATTTTCAACTATTGGGCTCCCAATGAAAGATTCTCCTTCCCCTTTGGTGAAAATATTGTATACATATACTATATATTCATAATGTACAACTTGCTTTCGATTGTGCTGAATGATGTTTTTCCCGATAAGCAGAAATTAATTTTTGAATGTTTAGCATTTCATCTTGTTGCTTTCTGAGTGTTTCTCTTTCTTTTTTTTTTTTTTTTTTTCCTGTTCTTTTAGAACTAGTAGCTGTTCCCTTGGTAAAGTTTGACTTTTCCTGCAATAAAGTGCTCGTGATTCCCATTTGTTTTAGAGAGATGAAGCAGCTGCAAGTATTACTGCTTGAGAATAACCCTCTGCAGTCTCCTCCAGCACAGGTGAGGGGTCTCGGAGCACAGCCTCCGCCCGCGGGATGTGCTGTCAGTAGCCCCAGGCAGCTCTTGGCAGAGCCGAGTTTTCTATAATTTGCTGAATTGATATTGTGTTAGACACGATCATAAGCAGTCACAGTCTGTAAAAAAGATGAAACCTTGAGTGAATCTGACTACAGTAACTTGTCTCCTGCTACATCAAGTTCATTACCAGCATTTGCCTCGCTACTCTGATCACTGCCATTGCAGAATCGTATGTTTGGTTACTTGATCAATTGTAAATGCATTTGAAACATTTTCATGGAGTATATGACTTACAGAGGAGTAATAGATCCCTTGCTTTAAATTTCAGCTGGAAAAGGGAGTTTAAATATTTTGAAATATGATTATTGGTTATTTAGAGACAAGATTCAAACTGAAATATTAAACTGTGCGAGAAAAAATGAAGTACATATGCTTTCAGAATTGGGACGTTACCAGGTCAACTATCTGATTTCTATACTGTTTACATTATTTATATTTAAACACACTGCTGTTAGAATTTTGCAGGTTAGTGCAAGAAAAACTAGAAGTTGCTCAAGCATGGTTTTTTATTCAAAGTAGAATTTGGAGGATAGAATTGCCTAAATTCTCATGAGTTTTGGAGAGATCAAATTGGGTGGGCATTGTTAAAGTGTCACTTAAAATGAAATGCGAAAATTAAAATACAGTCCCATTAAAAATAAATAGGCATTATTAATTTCTTCATAGATTTGCGCAAAGGGCAAAGTGCACATATTCAAGTATCTGAGCATACAGGCATGCCAGATTAAGACAACTGACTCCCTTTATCTCCACACGATGGAGAGGCCACATTTACACCAGCACGTGGAAGACGGGTGAGTGTAACCGCTGTCACTCAAGGGCCCTGTTCAGAATTTGCTTAGGCCAAGGTGCTCCAGGGAACTAACTCCCACAATTCCTTTGCTTCACTCAACCAATGCAGATTTATAACTCGAGTTACAACAACTTTTAGAATAAGAAAGAGAAAATTGATGCTGTTGATAACATGTTGGCATCTCTCAAATCTCATCTACCTTCTCCTAATCAATAATCAATCCTTCCTTAGTGCTATATGTATATGTATGTGTCTGTGCATGTGCGCACACACGTATATGTACATACATAGATACTTCATATCTATGTCTATCCTTATACGTGTCCCTATATATCCCTATATGTATCCTTATGAATAAGAAGTAGAAATGTAGGTATATTTTACTTACCAGTTAAAACAACCATATCAAGCTGAAACATGCCTTCTTTTTAATTATTAATTTTCAATGTGCTTCCGGAACATTGTTAAGAAAAACTACAGGCTTTCTTTTATCAATTGTCTTTTAAAAATGCAGTGTGCATAGTTTTTGCCGTTTCCTGTTTAGAATGGGAATGTAGAATCCTTTCATACATCCTTGGCCTTTTTGTGGCATAAATCAGGCCTTGAATTTTCAGAGAATGAAATTCCCACACTGAACACACTTAGAGAAACGCAGGTCGTTTTTGAGAATTCACTGCAGAAATTTTTCCTTAACTGTTTACTAAAAAAGTAAATATGGTGACTTAAAATGTCAGCCTACCCTAATGGTACCTTTATATAATGCTTAAAATATGTGTTCATTATTTTCTTTTTGGAAACATCCTGTGAAACTTATTTAGTCACTGAATAAAAGTTTGCGGATTTATTGAAAATAACCATGTAAGAGGTAAAAAGCACCTGATAACATAAGAGGTAAAAGTAATTAGGTAGTTTCTGCTTTTTTATATGCTAGAATCAATAAAATAAGAAAATCATTACCTGTTTCAAAGAACAGGTTAGAGTGCAAATTCATGAAACCCTGAACATAATTTATCTTGGGCAATATTTAGACAGTACAAATATCTGATTTTCATTAGGCCCTTGTCTTAATATCCTTTAATAGTGGGTGGATTTGTTGCCTCTGGTAACAATAAAAATTTGTATAGCAGAGTCACTATTTGAATATAAATTGATGTATCTTCTGAACTTTGTGATTTTAATTTTTTGTAAATGAATTCAATATTGATGGCGTCTATCTCAGCAAGAAGGATTCTGACTCTGGCGTTGGAAGTGATAATGGAGACAAGCGATTATCTGCCACAGAGGTAAAGTTAGTGATCAGATTTTTTTTCTTCCGTGCTTCTAAATATATCTAGATCTGTTGTTGAACTCCTTTCTGATAAAGGGCATTAATCCCACTGCATGAGAATACAGGATAATGTTTGTGAAAGCAATTTGAAATCCTCCAAGTATCATATAAATATTAGCTGTTGTTAGCTTTTTCTACAGCTTTAATATTTTGTAAATGTCTCAAGAGGAGGGTCCCTATCTCCTTCCCCTCCTACCACACCCCTCACTTTATCTAGAATGTTCTTGAAGCTGAATAAATATATGAAATGACTAAGTGGTGTCTAAGTACCCATGAGGCATTTTTATAAATATGTTCTTTTTTAAGTCACAAAGTAATTTTAGGAAAAAGTTGTTATATGCACACATAAATGTTGAGGAATGAAATGTACGTTGCATTTTAGCAGTTTGCCCACTGGAAATGCATTTTTGAGTTGCCATAATTTTTATAGCAATATTTGTTTTCCTGAAACTCTTAGATTGTGTTCTTTTCAGGTAATTGGCTCAAAGTTTGGTTATTTGTAAACTAAGAGTCCTTCTGCACTAGAGTTTCCTAAGAGTGGTTGTAAATAACTGATTTAGCACATTTGTTATCTCATTTATAGTCTATTAGATTCCCCCAAATCTTTCACTAATAAACCGTTAAATGGAGCTTCTCGACCAAGGGAGCTGGAAGGGATAGCGGGGGAGGGGAAGCATGTTAACAGATCTTCCCTTTGGAGGAAATTTATTGAGGTTGTGTGGTTATTGAGTTTTGAAATATTATAACGCTCTTTGAAGATATAATTAATAGGACAATTACCCGTACATTTCAGGAATCTGCATTTTTGCTATGTGTGACTCTAGGAAAAACGCCTTTTCCCTGTTCTCTCCAAGTCTTTGAGGTTTAATAGGTAGCTAAGATATTTGAATTTATTTTCCACAAAATGCTTTTATAAAGAAATGTGCTAAAAAAAATCGGGACACCTAAAATCTTTCTAACATAGAACATTTCAAAAGGAGGAGGAGTTAGTAGGCAGAGAAAGAGGGCCAGTATCAATATAAGAAAATTACCCTCATGAAGCCGCATGAATAGTTTACTATGGTTCCCTGGGGGAGAAAACGCTCAACACATCGCTTTATAAGTTGTATTTAATTCAACCCCCTTAGCTTTATTAAAACTCATAAGTTCCCTGAAATATCCCATTGTTTCAGAAATTACTCACCCTCGCTTATATTCTATTAAATTAAAACAGACTCTGCTTTATCCTTATCTGTCTTCTAAGGATAATTAAGTTCATTAATAAAACATTACACAAAGAACTCCATTATCCTTTTGTTCTCACTTAGTGTAAGTAGGATGCTAATAGCATTTTTCTAAAAGGAGGCCAAGGGTCTCTTCTCTCTCGTTTAACTAGATGCAGATCTGTGGCATTTTGCTAAGTTTTAAGATGGGAAGAGGCTGGAAGGAAGGACTACAGACAGAATGGATTACATTCAACACAATAAAGTCTCACTTTGTAGCTTTATTACCGGAGAACACCTCCAAGAAATTCGGTTTTTAGAATCATAAGGGTTCTGAATTATCCTACGTAGCTTTCTGTTTTCACTTTGCTGGGCAAATTCGTTACCATCTATGGTCACTTGATCTTGCTCCCCACTTATAGCTCGTTGTTAGGTTCAAAAGTCACAGCTCGTTCCCTGTCTCTGGCTATTGCCATTTTCTGATTGACTTAGCATTTGTCACTAAGAAGTTAAAAACGTATTTTTCTCAAGATAAACAAGCAAAAAAGATTGGGGACTCGATGAATATCTGTTTAATGAATGAAATGCACATTTGTTTTCTGCCGGTTTCTGAACATTTTGTGCACGTGTCCCAAAGTAAACGAACACTGTACTCTGAAGGTTGTAGCCTCTGGAATTCAGGAGCAAGCCATAGTCACCTGAAATGGGTTCTCAGGTTTCCGAGTCCTGTGATTTGGAAAGCTTTTCACCAAATAGCAACGTGAAAATGGAGATACAGGAAAATAAATGAGGCTCATATTTCATTTGTGACAGAGTCATAGATTTTCTGACGAAACTTCATCAGCTAGTGTGGGAAACAAGACCCCCCGAAAGAACTAACTCCAATAACTGAATTGAAGTGTTATTCTGAAAATTGCACAGAACCCATGTTTCTCTTAAGTACTGCAGTGGTTTAGCACTTTTATATATTTAACGAAGCTTCCTCAGCCTAAAACAGGAGTATAAACCAAAACTTAATGTCGCACGTAAGACACTGTAAATAAGTGAGATATTGTCACAGTTTGACTGCTTGCTTTTTTGTGACCAGCCGCATGAAATCTTAATGCAGTTTTGGTAAATTAGCGTTGTTGTCAGATCTCAGAGTACCATTACTATTGAAACGATTGGCTAGACATAGGGCTAGTGTGATAGTGTATTTACAAGTATTCCTTTGTTCTGTCAGGTGTTACACAGTCCTTCTTAGTGCCCTGACTATGGCTCTTAGGTTAGAAAATATCCTTAGGAACCTGACAACATTTCAGCTCAAAACACACGTACAGGAAAGTGCGTGTGTTAGCTCAATGAATTTTGACAATGTGGGCACACTCGTTACCAGCACCCAGTTCAAGAAACAGAACTTTCCCAGCAGCCCAGAAAGCCCCACTCATGCACCCCTCCACCCCAACTTGACAGCAGCCATTATCTTGACTTCAAACACTGGCTTGGTTTTACCCATTTCTGCACTTGTGTAAATGGAATTGTCTTTTGTATCTGGCATCTTGTACTCAACATTATGTTTTTGAGAGTCATGGTATTTTTTTTATCACATGGCATTCTCTTAATCTACATTGATAACACTTCTCCTCTGAATGAAGCCGTGTGCTTTCTTTTCAGCCTTCTGATGAAGACACTGTTAGCCTCAACGTGCCAATGTCAAACATCATGGAAGAAGAACAGATCCTCAAGGAAGACTCATGCCATCGCCTTAGCCCAGTTAAAGGTGTGAGAATGAAAGATGGGGAGAAAGTGCTTGTTTTGAAGTTTCAAATGCTGTGTTTATAATATGCACAGATATGGCAGGGATAATAGTGTATAGTTTTTGAGCATTTTCTGTGCACCAGGCAGTGTGCTAATCTGTGAAGGCGATCTCAGTCAAAGTTCAAAACTCTGTGATGGATAATCTACTCATCTCCTTCTTATAGGTGAGGAAACTGAGGCTCAGAGAGTTTAAGTAACTTGCCAGTAGTCACCCAGCTAGTCAGTAGTAGAGCTGTTCTCATTCTGAAGATTTAGGTAAGATTCCTGAAATCCATTCTCAGAAAGAAAAATATTGATATATACATATATTAGGACAACACTAGCTGCTGTTAACACGTAAAATCTCCAAATCTCGTTGGCTTACCACAGTCCAAATTAAGTCCCCGTGGGAGCTGATGATGACCAGGTAATTCCCTTCCAAGTGGTGATTCAAGGACCCAAGCTCCTTTTATCCTGTGACTCCACCATCTTTAACACACGACCTCCAGCGTTTCCAAGCCCATCAGTTTCAAACCAGAAGAGGAAGAGTGTGGAGTTTTGCTCAAAGGAGGTTTTATGGATGGGGCCTAGGAGTGCCCATCGCTTCTAAGCTAGACTTGGTTCCGTGGCTACGAGAAGCTATATGCAAGGGCGGGACATGCAGTGGAGACGTGTGCCCAGGGATCAGCTTAACTTTGGACAAGTCGATTGACCTTCATTCTTTCACCTGTAAATGAGATGATGAGGTTAGGTAACCTCTAAGTTCCTCTGTAGCTCTAAAATCCTGTGGTTCTTTAAAAATCACCAAATAATCAGTAAGCACTCTATGTCTTACATACTTTCAAAATCCTAATAATATATTTCATGTGTCGGTGAGAAGTGAGAAGCCTCACTTGATTACATTATGACAGTATTTTTGACTCTATCTATTCAGTGACTTTTAAAGAAAATACCAAATTTAGTGTTTGCTGATTTGTGGCAGAGACTATGTCATGGTATATGAATAGAGCCAGAGGAATTTGTGGATTTTCTCCTTGATAGTTTGAATCTGCTCATTAGTGATGGGCGAGCCTGAAACCAACTCAGACTTCAGTGTTCGCTTTCTCTTCTTACGTTTGTTTTTAAGTTCAGCACTTAAGTTTAACGTTTAATGTTCATCCGAGATTATGATTGGCACCACACGTTATCCAAAAATATAAATATGCAAAGATATAACTGCAAGTTTATTAATTTAGCTAAGTTTTGTAACATTGCGCAGTATAGGAGGTAGTGTTTTAGGCACATGTGTAAAGTAATAGAATCATAGAACTTCTTACCAATGGGTCTTTCCCCTTCTGTTCTGAAGTGGGTATTCTCTGGCTAGGAGTCCTTAAAGGTGGCCCTACTTGGTCCTTTTGAGTCTCTGGGTCAGAGGAGAGAGCCGCCTGGTGTTCCTTTGGGCTCTCGTACCCTCTGGACCACCCTCCAGCCAGATGTGCTCTGCTCAAGATGCTTTTCCCTCCACGTGGCCCTTATGTAGTCACTCAGTTTGTTGTTATGATTTGGGCTTCTTGTCTTAGTTCCTTCCCACACTTTTTCTTGAGATTGTTCATGTTTTAAGGACAAGAGTCAGGTCTGACTAATTTTTTTTTCATCCCTAAAATGTTTAGCGTAACGCCTGCCATTGAGTAATTGTTGAATAATATTTCTTCAATTTTGAATTTGGAATGGTTACTTGTCACACATTACAGAGAGCCCCAAAGCCCTCTTTGATCGTTGCATTTCTCTGTTCCTTAAAAAAGTCAGAGGACATTTCATTTCTTTCATGAGGAACTAAGCCATAAACAGGCCTTGACTTTTAAGTTCGGTTTGGGGCTCTCCATTTCTTTTACTTTTCTGCCTCTTCTTCCTTCTTTTTCGTCTTTTCCTCACACCCTCGGGGAAGAGAAAACTCGGGTCACTTACGTGCCTCCTTAAGAGGTGAGAGAGAAGGCTGAAATAATTAGATGATGTGTTTGAGGGTCCTTTGTGCATGAAGTCGTGCTTTCTACCTTTCTCTGTATTTTCCTAATAGGGGAATTTCCTCAGGAATTTCAACCAGAGCCTTCCCTTTTGGGTGACAATGACAACTCAGGAGAAGAAAGAGACCAATTTACTGGTGGAACAGATGTTCTCCATCCGGAATTTATAAACTATATTAAGGCAAGTTGAGGATCAACTCATTTTTTTTTTTTATTTTCTCTGCTTAACACCTTCGAGTTTAAGTTCAAGATTCTAATCCATCACCTTAAATGTCAGTTGACTGCCACCTTCCTCAGGCCTTTTTAACATCTTTTCAAAGCGCAGCCTGGGTATTTTCTGATGTTAGGAGCTGGTCCCTGCCATACATACCCCTCCATTTGTCTGCATGTGTGTATGATTTTCTTTTCTATTCAGAAATTTCTCAGCTTTCCACTACCCGGTGCATTGTATAAATTAGCCAACTTGTCAGAATTACCCTTACCATCCAGTAAAAGCTAAAATAGACAAAGTTTCACATGCTTTTCAGTGTATTCTAGGTGAGTGCCTTTCTTGGAAGTATATCCATAGTTTAGAGAGAAAAATGGAGACTCTAAAATCTGGAGATGCGTGTCTTCCCTTTTTGGAAAGGTCACTCTTGGCACAGTTAGTCCTGAACTGTTGTCATTGCATTGGGGTGTGGAAAGTTTGGTGAAGTCACCGAGCTGTCAGGAGAAGCTTCATCATCATAGCAGCAAAAAGAAGGGAGGAAAACCAGCCTTTTACTAAAGCTGGTAGTTCAGGTTCCACGCTGAGACATGAGTAGGTGCTTTGGTCAATTTCTGCCAGTCCTTTTGGTTCAGGTTGTGGCACCCAAAAATCACGAAGATAACTTTTTGGTAAAACTTTGATTCACTATGGCTTCTGAGAGATGAGGGTTTCTGAGTTACCATGCTAAAGGCAACCATGAGATGTCTAAGTGCTCACTCGTGTTCCTGAGGATTGTGTTATGATGGCTGGATTCTGTCTAAACTAACATCTCTGGGCATCACCTGCTAGGGAACTGGGAGGGAAACAGCTAAATTTTACACTGTACGAGACCCTCATGGGCTCAAGAGGTCTTCATGCCCTCAAGACAAAAATAATGAATATGATATACTTTTGTAGAAACCCAACTAAAATGATTACTAAAGTTATATAGAAGGGTAAAACATAGAAAGCTTTAACTCTTTGCTCTATCTAATCCATCAATAATCCACCAGTTCTTATTTCAAAATATCTTACACCTGTTGCTTTGTTTTCCTCTCTACCTCCATTGACATGACTTCAGTTAAGCCTCATAATTTCCCTTTTTTTTTTCTTTTGAGGAAGATTAGCCTGAGGTAAACATCCACTGCCAATCCTCCTCTCTTTGCTGAGGAAGATTGGCCCTGAGCTAACATCTGTGCCCATCTTCCTCTATTTTATATGTGGGGCGCCTGCCACAGCATGGCTTGATAAGTGGTGCATAGGTCCACACCTGGGATCCGAACCGGTGGACCTCAGGCCACTGAAGTGGAGCGTGTCAACTTAACTGCTGTGCCACTGGGCCAGCCCCCATAATTTCCCATTTTGATGACTACAGGAGTCCCTCCCACCCAAACTTCTCACTCAACATTCCACCTTTTTCGCACACAGGCCCACATACGCACACACATGCTTTATGTTTGGCCACAGACATTTTCCTAAAGTAAAAATTTAGTGACATGAATCTGAGGCTGGTGGTTCTCACAAGGCTCTCCCAGATTTGACGCTTGTCTATCAACTCTGGGATAAATCTGTCATGAAAACTTGGAAAATTGGGCTTTCGTCTTTATTTCACAAACAGTTCATCTTGAGAATCTAAATTAAAGATGGAAACCCTGAAGGAAAACAATCAAAGCAATTAGTAAAATAAAACATTTTGTTTCAGAAAAGCAAATTTCCCTAGATTCAGAGATTTCGGGAAGCAGACGGCTCCATGGAAACAGCTGCTTTGCAGAATGGATCCTGTGGGCAGAATCTAAAGGAGCAGATAGGGGCGTAGAAATGTACTTGACACATGTTTCCTGAATGCCCACTCCCTCAAGAGGCTTCTCCTGGAAAGTCAAGGGAAGAACACTTATAACATTTTATATAATAAAATAAAACCTAAATCTACAACAAAAAGTCACGCATTGGAAATCAGGACTGCGCGAGCCGTGACTTGCATCACTTTCAAAGCCTGTGAGAGTGTGCTTGGCAGCCTGCAATGGTGCTGAACCACTTGGTCTCTTGTCAATCAAGAGTTCTGTGTTTTATATCCTCCTTCTCTCCTTTACTGAATTAGAATCTTGTGCTTTTGTAACTATAGTCAATCCTCTTTATTCACAGCAGCTCTGTTCTGGAAAGTCACTTTGAACACTGAGTTATTCAATACTGAGCCTTTGCTCCTAAGGGAAATACAGGATTAGGTTCCTGCAAGCCTCTGCTCACATCATTTTTGTCAACTGATCAATACATAACCTTGTCTTATCTGTGTTTCTGTTTAAAGACGCATTACTGAATACATATAGTTGATTCATTAACAGTGAGCTATGGCCAACAGCACTGTGACTCATGCCTGAAGGAAGCTTGTCTAACATGTGTTTTCTCCATCAGGCACGTCACAGCCTCCCTGCCTTAGGGACACCAGACAGCACTGCAGCACCATGCTTGGGGGTATTTTAAACAGCAAAATCACTCAAAAAAAGCACAAAAATATGAAAATGTAACATTCTGAAATAGACTCAGAGAGGAGCACTTGTTTGCAGTCTGAGAGCTGAAACAAGAAGGCAGGCATCTCCTGTTCAGTCTCTGCTGGGAACGTGCATGTCAGGGACTCAAATTTTTCACCATTCTGTGCATGTCTGCCAGTGACTCTGAAAGCACCATGAGTATTGGTTTTGGGGTTACAAATAAGTTTCGGTGAGTCAGCGAATTCATAAGTACAGAATCCACAAGTAAGGATCAACTCCATAACCATCTAACTTAGCAAAAGAAATCCAGTAAGCCCCATTTTACCTACTGGAAAAAAAAATAGATGTTTTATACTATTAGTTATTTTTTATTACGAAACTGAAAATTAGAAGGAAATACTCCTGGCTCCTATAGTTGAAACCCAACAGGAAGACATAAGAATGTGTTTTCTTGTCCTTTTCTGGTGGTATATTTTCAACTATGAATTTCACTATTTGAATGGTGGCACAGTAACTTATATGTTGGTTTATTATGCACTAAAAGTATAATCAATATAGAAAAATCTGAGTGTTTTCCAACCCAGAGGCTGGTGTCAGGCAGCTAGCCACCTCCTCAGAAGAAAACTTGTTCTCAGTGACACATCTATAGGATTGGCTAGGCTTGAGTAAGTGAACAACATGTCAGAACTTTGACACAGAAAACAGTTTCTTTTCCCTGTTGTTTCTTCCTTGCCTGGGGACCATGCCCCCACTCAGGAGTGGCTTCCATTCTAGCTGTCAGCTGACTTAAAGCAGCATTTCTCTGTGTCGCAGGTGAAAGTGCAAAGAAACACCTGGAAGTTCCTGTGGTGGGACACACCTTTCTAAGTAGTCCCACCATAGTGTTTCTTTGGGAAAATAATGCGGGAGGGGCATTTCAGTGAAATTTGGGTGTTGTACACGTGAAAAGTATTAGATGCAATTTGAGGCATTTTCTGTTGTTATACTTTCAGAAACTATACTATCTTTTACACTTTTTTCCCCCCAACAACACACACATACACACACACACGCACACACTCATACCCCTCATCTTGCAAGTGCTAGAATGCACATACTCATGTGACTGACAAGCCCAATGGAGGAATCTGTCAACATCAGGAGGTGCTAAGAGGGCCATAAGGAATAGAGTTAAGCTTTAAATTTCTGAACTCCAAGTTAACAGGTATTGTGGTCCTGGGCCAAGTTGTTTTTTTTTAATTGTGGTAAAATGCATATGACATAAAACTTACCATCTTAGCTCTTTTTTTAAGTATACAGTTCAGTGGTATTAAGTACATTCACATTGTTGTGCAACCATGACCACCATCTCCTGTCAAACTGAAACTCTGTCACCATTAAACAATAACTCCTCGTTCCCCCCTCCCCTTATCCCTGGCAACCAACATGCTACTCTGTGTCTCTATGATTTTGATGACTCTAGGTACCTCATATAAGTGGAATCATACCGTATTTGTCTTCTTGTGACTGCCTTATTTCCCTCAGCACAACGTCCTCAAATTCATCCACGTGGTAGCATGTGTCAGAATTTCCTTCCCTTTAAGGCTGAATAATATTCCATTGTATGTATCGACCACATTTTGTTTATCCATTCATCCGTTGATGGACACTTGGGTTGTTTCCACCTTTTGACTATTGTGAATAATGCTGCACTGAAGATGGGCTGGGGTGGGTTTTGACTGTTGACTGCTGCTAGCCAGTGGCTCTCAGAAGACCCATATGTCCTGTCCACAGGATAGGGCAGGGGACTGTGAAGAACTGTTACGGATAGAAGAGGACGCACACTGGCAACCCGAGGGAAGGTGAGTGCCGAGGGCCTGGTTATGAGACACCAGCCTGTAAAGTTCATGTTTCAAGCAGAATCACTGCCCTGTTGTGATAGAATTTTGATCCCCTTTTCTTTGGGCAAGCTGATATTCTTACCCAATGGTATTAATAAGACGTTACAAGTTTTCTTCTGTCTGATGCTTATTGTCTCAGTATTGGGACAATACAAAGGAAGGTCATGCCTCTTCCTTGAGTTTTGTTTGATTTCAGGCTGTGGGTGGAACTGTGATTCAGAGAATTAGATAGAATGTGTAGGCTGGAGATTCTCGCTTTCTTCCATTTGTCTGAAGAAGCTGACAACTGAACCCAAAGTGATTCTGTAGCCCTGGTCCCCTTCTTTCCCTAGAGTCTTCAGGTTCAAGGTCCGAGAAAACCATGTATCTCTAATATTCTGGTCCTAACTCTCCTAATTGTAATAGCCAACATTTATGAAATGCCCTGTGCCAGGCACTGTCCTAAATACTTCACAGATAGTAATTCACTTCATCTTTACAACAATCCTATGAGGTAAATTCTGTTATTTTCCCCCATTTCACAGATGACAAAACTGAGGCACAGAGAGATTAATTATCTTGCCCCAAGGACTAAACCCAAAAATCTTACACTGGATAGATATCGCCTCTACTGGATTGTCTGTAAAGATTTACTTGGCCAGCCTAATAGGGGAGGGTTTAGCAGCTGATAAACCATTTCCAGGGGAATTGAGTTTGGACCATGTGGCATAGAGTAGATTTTTGGTTCCTAGAATTTTGTTTTCCATGATCTGGCATGCAGGCCTGGACCTTCCATCATTCCTTCTAGGATTTTGTTTTCCGTGATCTGGCATGCAGGCCTGGACCTTCCAATCATTCCTTCGGGAGTTTTTCCCTTTCGTGAGGATTTATGACGTTGTTAGAAAGTTTCTCCACTTCCAGAAAGACATTGGCTTATGTTCTGCAGTGGGAAGGAGTAATCATGATCAAATCTCTCTTGCCTTTTAAAAACATTGCAAAGTTCCTTTCACATCACTGACCAGTATTACCACCTATTTGTTTGGCATATTTCTGTGATGCCAAGGAGGACTAATTTGATGATAGACTCACAGAATAACAAGGAAAGAGATTTTATAGGGAAAGAGTTTTTAAACTACATAAAGCTTTGGAAACCTCATTCTCAATCTTGTATCTGTTGTTCTCAGCCCTGCCTGCAGATCAGGATCATCTGGAGAGCTTAATAAAATGGCCAAGCCCCAGTCAGACCTACTTGGGGATGTCAGACCTGGCATCGATTTTTTTAAGCGCCACAGATGATTTTGCTGCATAAAAAGCCTGAACTGAGAACCACTGCCCCCCGTTGAAGTCTCATGCTGTATGAAAGCAATAAAACTAAGCCACGCTCATTGAACTGGGTTTGGAAAGTCTGGAAGCAGTGCAGGCTAGCCCTAGCTGAACATCCCCGTGGATCCCCCTAGGGCTCAGGAAAACGCAGTGTGAAAGCCACCCAGCTAGTCCCTTGCCCTGGTTTTACAGCTGAGCAGATGGAGGCCCACGGGCATTGTGACGTGTGAGCTGCTTTCCAGCAGAGCTGGGCTTCAGCCACCCATGGGCTCTTTCCACCACATTCTGTCAACCCACCCTGCAGGGTACTGACATGTTTTCCTTATAATGTTGAATTTGTCAAAATCGGTTTTATATGTTAGGTGGATTTTTATAAGTTTGCTCTTAAGAACCTAGATGATATTTGTGCTCTAGTGATCATTTTGGTTTTCATGCTTGCTTTCATGCTGCAGAATAAGTTCATCCAAAGACCAGGACATGGACATAGCAATGATTGAACAGCTGAGAGAGGCAGTAGATTTGCTGCAAGATCCCAACAGGTACGCGTGTCTTCCTGGGCCCAGGTTTCATGTGTAAATAATGCATACTAATTTACTGAGTACATCATCTCACTTTAAAAAATATTTATACACACAAGTTTGGGCTCAGCCTAAGCACTAACAAACAAAGAAAAGTCATTTTAACTGCCTGTTTTCCCAAGATTCATAAGGAAAAGAGTCTAACTTCTGGAGGAATTTTGAGATCAGTTTCCCCTTTCTCTACTCCTCATGAAATTCACTCACACTTTATGAAATTCATATGTAAATTTTTAGTATAATTCCTAGAAAACAGAAATACAGCAAAGCACATATTTTGTATTGTTTAAAGTTTAAACCCCTATTTTATAGAAATATAAGGGAGATTTTCCAAAAAGGGAAGATTTGGTATATCAAATACTACCTTATTTATTTCTGATAGTGCCAAATATATGCTAACTAAATAATATATTTCTAAAGATTTAGGTTACAAGATAATTTCTTATTTTTCTTTTAAAGATTGGCACCTGAGCTAACAACTGTTGCCAATATATATATATATTTTTTGCTTTTTCTCCCCCAATCCCCCCAGTACATAGTAGCATATTTTTTAGTTGTGGATCCTTCTAGTTGTGGCATGTGGGATGCCGCCTGAGCCTGGCCTGATGAGCAGTGCCGTGTCCGCACCCAGGATCCGAACCAGTGAAACCCTGGGCCGCCAAAGCAGAGCGCGTGAACTTAACCACTCAGCCATGGGGCCCGCCCCAAGATAATTTCTTAATTGAATTGGCCATTGTTAATAATAGGCAATATATGCCATAGTCATATTTTTTGGTTTCTTCTCTAAGGATAATGAATTCCCATGGACAAAACATTTTTCAGTATGACAATATACCTGGTATCAGGTAATAACTACCTTATCACTAGAGAAATAGATCTAGAGCTTATCCCTGGTAAACGGTTCAGGGGTCCTGCGAATTTAAATATGAAGATGAAGGTGACATGGAAATCACTCCACTTTCTTGGAATTTATGAAAAGGATGGTTAGTGAGTCCCAGAGTATTGGTGAGAGTGCACCACCAATGTTGTCTGGCTCTAAAGAATAATGACAGGCCAGGTTGAGTGTGGCTGAAAATCCTTAGCAACTGATTTCAAAAGCATTTCGATTAGACATTAAGTGAGTGCTTAGAGCATGGGAAGATCTCCAGTGTGCACCTTGGGAGATATAAAGATGAACAAGACACAGCTCTTGCCTTCTAAGACTCCAAACTATAGTAGATGGAGGTTGCCTTGTGCAGTTTTTTGTAAGTGTAATTGATTTAGGTGCTTGAAGTGGAGGTAAAAAGTGATAAATCAGAGCGAATGCCTGACCCCAGATGGAAAAGGGCAAATGGCTGGGCCAGCCTTCCTGAAGGTTGGGTTATTTAACTGGACCCTTTAATAACTGGCATTTTCAAGGAGAAAGCAAATTCTGGATTGAATTAAAAGTTCGTGCAAAGGCGTGGAGGTCAAAAAGAATGGAGCAAGCTTGGAAAATCTCACATAGATGAGATGGGCTCCATCCTGACTGTGCGGCAGTAACACAGACACCCTGACACTCGCTACCTCTGGGGCTCAGGGTCTGGGCATCTCCATGAAAGTCCTGCCAGTGCCGCTGATAGACAGGCTGACCTGAGAATCACCGGGGGGCAGTTTGGAGTGAGCAAAGGAGGACTTCCATTGCTATGCAGAGGAGCCGAGACTATTTTATGTGTAGAGGGAGGTGATGATGGTTTAAAATGTGATGATTCATGTTGTTAGTTCTCCCTAATGTTTGGCTCAGAGCTTGGCTCATTAGTAGGCACCTAATCAAGGCACGTTCTTTAAAGAGCTGGGTTTCACATCCTTAACCAGGGCAGTCAGTGAGAGGGTAGGAAACAGGGACAAGAGAGCTTGTGTGTGAGTGTGAGGGGGGGTGTGTGCATGTGTGTGCGTGTGCTCATGCACCCAAGGAAACAGGCCAGGTAGCATGGCTGGTGAAGAGCAGACTTTGAATCGGCTAGACACTGGTTCTGAGCCCATCTCCAACTCCAGTTAATCTGGGTAAGTTATATAATTTCTCTGCACCCCAGGTTCTTCCTCTATGAGATGGGTTCCAAGTTCTTACCTTTTAGGACTGTGAGGATTTGAAATAATAAATAAACTGCTAGTGGGAAGGTAAATTGGCAAAACCATTCCAGAAGACATCCTCATTATATGGAGCCACAATTTAAAAAATACATAAACTTTTCGAACAGATTCTAAAAATTTATCCTAAGGGATGAAGAGATACAAACAAAGATTGTGAGAGGGAAGATGTGTTTAATAGCAACTATTTGGAAAAAAGAAAATGATCTAACAATCTGGAGATACTTAAGTATATTTTGGTGGTTAATAAGATGGAATATAATGTGGCCAATAAAATGGTTTTTAAAGTTTCCAGTATATTTTAGAATGCTCATTATATAATGTTGACTTAACAAGTATATACGTGCATAAAATTTGATCTCACTTATATAGACAGAATTAGGATCCAATTGTGTAAGAAGCTTAGAAAATTTAAACTAGAAGGAAATACATTAAGATGGATGTTTTGCTGTAGGTCTTTCTAAATTCCTATTTTTCTTTATACTTTTAAATATTGTAGATGCTCAGTGGGAGGTACTGCTGTAGGTCTTTGGTGACCATTTGAAGTGGGTGGTGAGAAGGATGGGAGAGGACAGTCAAGGTGTTTTAGACCTGAGCCCCCGGTAGCTCTGTCTGGGATGAGGAACCAGGAGGGACAACAGGTTTGAGGAGGAGGATGTTGGGGTCAGTGTAGGACCTGCTGAATAGAGTCTAAGGTGGCAATGTGGCAGTGTCCATTCAGCTGCTAGACCTTTAGTTTTGGGGCTTCAAGACTTAGACTTGAAAGTCATTTTCACCAGGTGCTGCAGTAACAGAAGCTGTCTAAGAGGATGAGGTTCCCATGGACGAGCGTATCAATGGGAAGGGAACGTGAGCCCAGGACAGAGCCTTGAAGACGAGACGTGACAGAGAGAAGGCTCAAACCCCTTGGGATCAAACTTCACATTGTTTTAACAGTTCTGCCTTTCACATTTTGTATCACTTTTCCAATACACTTTTCTTACAAATTCTAGATTGATTAACATAGGAGCCCCAAAGCAAAACAGAACAGCCTAGTTTGGTGGAAATAGCAGTGGCGTGGGACTGTGGGGCTGGAACCCAGCATTAAGATCCGGTGACCTGGAGGGAGTGGCTCCCCCTCTGGGTCTCAGTGTTTTTCATCCTTCCTGAGAAGAGGGATGAACTGAGGATCTCCAGACTCTTCTCCAGCCTGGAAATGTCTGAGGCAATAAGTTGCCAAGGATGCTGAGTGAGTGGAAATCGTGGGTGTGTGCCGAATTGTGGACGAAAACAGCCCTGAGCACCCTCCAAATGATAGTTGATTTGCGTCTTTATGAAGTGCTATTATAAAATTATATTATGTTGTAAGACTTTCTGTGGATTTCACTTCCTCCCTAAAATAATTCACTGCTTTGGCTGCTTTAGATCTTTGTTGTTCATCCTGAAATAATTATAATATGACAGTTCTAACTTTATGTTTCTGTAAGCCAGTGTCACAGGTAGAGAAAGAGGCCTGTTTTTGCTTGTGATAAGGAGAGGGCGCATCAAGACGTCATTTATTTCCTGCTGCTTTGGACTGAATATTAGTATAAAAAGTTTCCATGCACATTGGGTTTTTCCTTTATCTTATATGTCATAGATCCAGATATTTGTGTTTTAGTTAAGCCATCGATGGTAGGATTACATTTCGAGGTTTACCTTTCAACCTTCACATCAAAAAACCTAGCTGAATATTGCTATCCTGTTTTACCTTTGTCTTGGTTTCTCCTCATAAGGATTTCTGATTGTTGGTTTGATATCATTTTCAATAGGCACGTATAACACGAACTCATCTCCACCTTTTAAGATGGCTTTGTAACTTTTATATGACTTACAGAAATTCCTGGTTTTATAGATCTTAAAAAAAGTTGAACACTTGAAATTTCAGAAATTCAGAAACTATCTGTGAGACAATTTCAAAAATAAAAATGTGGGGTCGGCTCCGTGGCCGAGTGGTTAAGTTCGTGTGCTCCACTGCCGCGGCCCAGGGTTCGGATCCTGGGCGCAGACATGGCACCGCTCGTCAGGCCACGTTGACGCGGCGTCCCACATCCCACAACTAGAAGGACATGCAACTAAGATATACAACTGTGTACAGGGGGGGTTTGGGGAGATAAAGCAGGAAAAAAAAAAAAGGGAAGATTGGCAACAGTTGTTAGCCCAGGTGCCAATCTTAAGGAAAAAAATAAAATAAAAAATAAATAAATAAAAATGCTTATCAGATTGCTTATGTTTTGTTTTGTTTTGTTTTGGTGAGGAAGATTGTCCCTGAGCTAACATCTGTGCCAGTCTTCCTCCATTTTTTTTTTTTAAAGATTGGCACCTGAGCTAACATCTGTTGCCAATTTTCTTCTTTTTTTTATTTTCTTCTCCCTAAAGCCCCCCAGTATGTAGTTTTATATTCTAGTTGTCAGTCCTTCTGGTTCTGCTATGTGGGACACCACCTCAGAATGGCTTGATGAGCAGTGCTACACCCATTCCCAGGGTCCAAACCGTGGAACCCTGGGCCACCAAAGCAGGGTGCACAAACTCAACCACTGGGCCAGGGGGCCAGCCCCTTCCTCCATTTTATATGTGGGATGCTACCACAGCATGGCTTGATGAGCGGTGTGTAGGTCCATGCCTGGGATCTGAACCTGTGAACCCCAGGCCGCCAAAGCAGAGTGTATAAACCCAAGCACTATGCCACCAGGCTGGCCCAGGAATTCTTATTTTTTTAACTGAGGGTGTTAGCGTGTATCAGAGAGATCTTCCTATTAAAACAAAATGCCCTTGGTTCATATACCATAATCTAGTACCTTGGCAACTTTACTTGCTTCTGTAAACTAATAAAGTTCTAGAATAAAATTTAGCGTGTTCTATTTATGAATATTATGACTTTATCAGACATTACGGTTATATTTCAAATAAGTTGGATTTCGATACCAATAGCAGATACAAAACTCTTACGTTAAAATTATATTAAATTTGGCACATGATGGGAAAATACCGTGTGGTTTGGAATTTCTACCATAAACATTTTATTACTTAATCATAATGATTAACATAGCTTTATAATATATTAAATTTTTAAACTAAATATGCCCAAGAGCAGTAGGATTTATTAAAAGTCTAATAAATTTGCTAACATCTTTTTTTCCTACTCTTTAGACTGAGCACAGATATTACAGAGAGAAGTGTTGTAAACTTTTATCCTATGGAATCAGGAGAAGCTTTAGAATTACAAGATTCTGCACTAAAGTATGTTGACCTTTTTATAACTTGAGTATATTTTCTCTTTTTTGCATTGAAATATTTAATATGCTTTAAATTCCACTTTATATCTTTTTTTTCTTCCTTTCTACAGTGGTCAAATACAGCTGGAAACATCTCCGATGAGTGAGGTAATGATGTTCCTGGATGAACCTCAGAATAGTGGCGCCATGTTCCGTAAAGATTTGTCATGGGGGGTAGAACATTCATTAGTGAGACCAGTATTCAAATTTGTTCAAGATCTCTTTCTCAGATTTTTTATGCTTTTACCCTCTTTATATTTCCTGCTTATCTTGTATACTTCACCTCCCAGTAAAGATGAGAGTTGGCTGTCGCCATTAAAGTCCCTAAATTTTTTTGTCGGATAGTCTTGCTGAGTCAGGCGATGGCAACTAGGATGCACTGGGAACCTGCTTCGTGTCAGAAACTGGAGGCAGGACCATTCAGTGCAGAGTTTAGAGCCACGGAAGAAGCCTATGAACTGGCCAGATGAAAATTCAGTAGAAAAGACTTGAAAGAGAGGAACAAATGATTTGGGAAATGCCTGGGAGGATTAAGAGAGTCTAATGAAGAGAAACTGGTGGGGGTATTTGGGGACAGAGTAAAGGATAGAGTTACATTGGGTGAAATTGGGGTGGCTCTCTAAAGCAATTTTGACTTAAAACTGGAGAGGAGCCTAGAAGGTCCCAAAGAAACACTCGTAGAGAGAAAGGTTTGAGCTGGTGACTTGGGAGTGAAACATAGATTTTATCCTATTTCATCCCTTCTTAGTAAATAGGCTTAGGATGGGTAGTTTCGGCACCAAATAATTTATGCCCCCAGGGTGTCTGAACATGTACTGTAGTAAAGCAGTTTCACACTCTTGCCTAGCTAAGTTTCTGTGTTAAATAAAGGGAAAAGAACTGTAATAAAAAAACCCGTGTTCTCAGAGTAAGGTTGCATTATTAAAAGCAGTGATTTGGAATTATAAGTTTCAGGCCCATCTCAAAAACTTGCTGACTGCAGGCTACTATGGGCAGCCTCTCTGAACTTCACCTTCGTCTTCTGTAAATTGGAATCCGTGTCACAACCCAGGGCACCTAAGTGTTAGCTGCTACTGTTACTCCACTAGTCTATTATGGTTATTGGTGTGGTCCTTAGACAGCATCTCTACACCACCTCTTCCCAGTGGAGGCATCATCGAATTCCCCAATAGTGGAACAGCAGGAAGCCTTTTATGTGAACAATGCCCTGGGCCTATTTCATCAAGCTCTCCTTTTGAGAGTACTGCCTTTTTTTTTTTTTTTGAGGAAGATTAGCCCTGAGCTAACATCTGCTGCCAATCCTCCTCTTATTGCTGAGGAAGACTGGCCAGAGCTAACATCTGTGCCCATCTTCCTCTGCTTTATAGTGGGACGCCTGCCACAGCGTGGCCCAATAAGCGGTGCGTAGGTCTGTGCCTGGGATCTGACCCGGTGAACCGCAGGCCGCTGAAGCGGAGTGCGCTAACTTAACCGCTACACCATCACCAGCCCAGCCCCAAGACGCGCTGCTTTTGATTCCGGGCAGACTCACTTTTTTTTTTAAGCTTCTTATTTGTAAAGAATTTTATAAAAGTTTGAAAAAAATTACAAAAGGTTACAAAAAATTACAACCTTTTATCCAGATTTACCTATTATTAACATTTTACCACATTTACGGTATCATTTGTTCTGTCTCTCTCTCTTTCTCTGCACACATGTTTCTTTTTCTGAAAATTTGAGGGTAAGTTTCATACATCATAGTCCTTTATCCCTAAACATTTCAGTGTGTTTTTTCTAAGAATAGAGATTTTATCTTACATAACCATGTTTCAGTTATCAACTTCATAAATGTACATTGATAAAACATTTCCATCTACCATCCATATTCTCAAGATTTCAGTTGATCTGATGACATCCTTCATAGCATTTTTTTTCCTCTCCAGTGGAGGATCCGGTCTAGTGGCAGATGTTGCATTTAGTTGTCAGGTGTCTGTAGTTTCCTTTACTCTGGAACATTTCCATAACCTTTATTTGGTTTTTATGACCATGACATTTTGAAGAGTATAGCCCTCCTCTTTTTCTTTTAATGGAATGCCCCCTTATTTTGTGGGACAAAATTCGCTCATGGTTCGATTGAGTTGTGCATTCTTTTTTAGGTTCTGCACAGAGGATGTTGATGTTGTGTCCTTCTCGGGGTATCACATTTACGGACATACTATGTCCATCTGGGCCTCATTGCTGTTGTTAATGTGACCACACAATTGAGGTGTAACCTGGTTTCTTCACTGTATAATTACGGTTCTGTTTTTCCCTTGCAACTAATAAGCAGCCAGTGAAGAGGCACTTTAAGACCATGTTAGTGTCCTGCTGCCACCCATTTCTAGTAAAATAGGTGACCACCTGTGTGCATAAATTTCAGGAGTACAAGGAAAACACAAAACCTCTAGAAAAAAGATATCTCCACTCCATCTTGTCGACGGAAATAATCCATAACCAATCTATAAGTGAAAATTTGGGTGAGTTTATTCTGAGCCAAAATGTGAGGACCATGGCCTGAGGCCTTCCTGAAGGAAGGAAGGAAGGGCACCAAAAAAGTGGGGTGTACAGAGTGGTTATATACCCTCAAAGAGCATGTATCACATATGATTGAAATGTCCCTTTTACAATAGTTGCAAGACTGCTCTGTCCGCACAGTGATTGACGGACATAGCAGGTAGTAGGTCCACTGTCTCGGTGGACACAGCAGGTAGCCCATCTGTTGTCTCAAGCTGGTTGGTCACAGGTGAGCACAGCAGTTAGTTCCTAGCCTAGGGAGAGATGCTTATCCTTAAGGAAATGCCAGTGTGGGGGGAAGTTGCACCTTTATCCTAAGGCCATTTGTTCTTGTCTTTGGGACATAGCAAACCCTTAAAGCAGATATAAATGCATGCTCAAAGGCCAGGTCAGGCCCTCTTAGAAAAACAAAGTCAGCCCAAATTAAGGGCTTCCTCGTATACTCCAATATATCCTATTGCTTGCCATTTCTATTTGTCAGTTGGAGGGTCATTCCAACAGTTTTATCTTCTGTTAAAATACCAAGTATTCCTGACTTAAAAAAAAATAGGAGGCCTTGCTATATGCCAGACTGTGTGTTTGTATTTTATATATGTTATCATTATTTCATTCATTTGATGACTATCCATCAAGTGCCCACAATGTGTCAGCACCATTCTGGACACTAAGGAAGTGTCATTGACCAAAACAAAGGTCCTTCCCCTTAGAGTTTTCATTTCAGTTAAGGTTAGTGAAAGGTAGGGGTTATCATGCCGAACTTACAGGTGCAGGACCTGAAACTCAAGGTCAGGAGACTGGCCAAATCACTTGCATGGTAAATAGCGAGGCCCTGCTTTTCCACTCAGCATAGTCCAGAAATTCTCCATGCTGTAGACTAGAGGTGACACACTAAGTCTTGTCCTTCTTACAAACCTTAGTGGGACCTGAATGCACCAAACCTTTTCTTAAGAACAGGACTTGGCAAAGGCAGAGAGGGGGTAACCCTTGTGTGTGCTTGAAAAGTGCTTCCAGGAATGTGGATGGGGTATGGAAAGAACATGGATGGGTATATACCAAATGTAGGCTGAGCCCAGTTCGCAGTTTTGTCTCAGTCTAGTTTTAATCCTCTCTTTTAATCCAAGTAGCTATACATTGGGTGGTATTTCTTGTCGATGCCAATTCCAATGGCTGTTAAGAATTGCTACTGACATTAAGCATTTCATTAATTAAGCAGTAAGCATGCTTTAGGAAGGGATGTGCAAAATATGACTTTTTTGGGTCAATCCAATACTATTTTAATGTGGGACTTCCTCTCATTTTCCCATCAGCAAAGCTGAACAATATCTCTGCAATAAATTCTAGATTTTAGAAGTGGATTTTTTATTCTATTTATTGATCTCTATTTCTCCTATTATTTGTCTATCTCCCACTGCATGGCACAAACACTTTAGTGTTTTCACTCTAAGTGGGACCTAACCCAGTCCCTAGGACCCGGTGAGCCTTTAGTGAGGGTTTGTGAAAGGGAGGAAGGACTATGAAGAAAGAGAAAATGAGATGATAAAGAGTTGGCTTTGGTAAGGAGAACATCAATGTGCTACATCTTCAATGTAGAGACTCCGGGGTCTTAACTGATCGCTGAAACTCTCCATCATGTAGGCAAAATGTATTTTAGGTTCTTCTAAATGCAGTTTCTTATGCTTGTCTAAATTGAAACTCATCTGACACTTTTTCGCATGCTCATAAAGCTTCATGGGACTTTCCTGTACTTTTACCATGCTTGCAATCATGATATTAATGTGGAAAAGCCTAGCATGGTCCTAAAGCAGCAAGTGTGACTTCCACGTAACGTACTGATCAGTTGGTCAGTCTAGTCACCCCAGCTTGCCTCTAACAATGAGCCTCTCTTCCATCAGTCAGCCGGACATTCAGCCAGTAAGTGTTGAGCTGCAGTTCAGCACAAGGCCCTGAGCTCGGTGCTGTGAGGGCCTTGAAGCCAGCAACCACACACTTTTCTTCCGAGTGCATTTTCTTCTCACACTGGCAGACTGTGTTCCTGTTATGGTCACACAGGATGTGTCAGACCCAGCCACCTTGGGGCCTTCATTTAAGCACCCTGCTTAAAACATCCTGGAACTTTCACTCAAGTAGAGTTTTAAAAAGGAATATAACTGTGTCCATGATTTCAGGAGTACCAGGAGGACACAAAACCTCTAGAAAAAAGATACCTCCACTCCAACTTTGATTTACAATATTTTGTGTTAATGTAAATTTTTTTTTTCTCGTTTGGCTGAATGAGGAGTCACATTTAGTATAAGGAATTCTTACTCATTGTCTTCCTTCTCTGGGGCAGCTCTCTGCCCGTCACAGACACGTCTCCATGATTTTAAAAAGGGAGGGGGAATAGCTGACTGTGGTGGGAAAAGGAAGTCATGAGGAGGAAGAGAGGAAAAGAAAGTAGTGGATCAGCAAGTCCACTGCTAATGATTATGCAGACCTTAAATGCGATCTTCTTTTATGGTTTGCTTATTGTCATATTCTCTCTTCTATCTCATTCAGGAAGAAATATCTTTAGCGTAGTCTAAAAGCAATTATCCAGTATTTATTGAGTACTTGTTCTGGATTCAGCTTTGTTTTTGGTGTCAAGGATTGGGATATGAAGGACATGAGTTGCCCTCACATTTATGGCATTTTAAAAATTGAGGAGGAAAGAATTCGATCCTGAAAAGATTTAGAGAAGGATATGAGGCAGTCCGTAGTCATGAGTGTTTGAGGTGCTCTGGGAGACTGGGGCTGGCTTGGAGAACTCAAGGAAGGGAAGTAAACCTAGATTTGGGAGGTGATCTGGGTTTGGATGGGTCCCAGGAGGCCGTGCTGAAGCAAGACAGCAGGGCCCTGGCCAAGGTGTGTGAACTGGGCAGAGACACCGAGGAATGGGGTGACGCCCAGCTAGCTGGGTGAGGCCAAGATGATGAAGTGGTTTGAAATCGGTAGCACATCATGTTATCTGATTTCAAGCACACTTTCGATGACAGTCTACGTCAAGCTTGGGTCACATTGGCATCTGTCCAGGAAGAATTGCCAATTCCATTCTCATATGCAAATAATATTGAATGGGGGAGGGGGTTGGGGGGACAATAGGAAAAATTAGTTGAAAGAGTTGCATATAAAGAGAATCAAACCTGGAGTTGCTTGGTAGCAGTTCTAACAAAGCCATTTAATTGGATAGAGAAATTAATGACATTTTATTCTAAAAATACGTTTTTCCCTTGGATTTGTCAGAGTTGGGAATATTTTTTAATAGCACTCCTCAACAATAGGAATCGGAATAGACATCTTCAATCTGTGCTCATTTGGTGGTATATGTGAAGATGTTTATATTAGCTATCACCAGCTTTTTTATTAGGATGCATCGATGGGTTGTTGATTACCACATAAAGAAGGTAGATCTGGGTAAAATAAGCTAGAGTTTCCCCATTGTGGGTCCCTTATCTCTGTGTGTCCCTTTCGTACTGGTTTTCTAGGATTCTGCCCTCAGCCCTGGTTCCTTATTCCATATTCTCTCTCTGGAGGAGCTGCTCACCCTCATGGACTCAGGCACCTCATGAATAATAATGACTTTCAAATCTATAGCTCACGCCCCAAATCCCTCCCTCTCTCTAGTATTCATATGGCATCTCCCTGCCCCATAAGTTTCTCATTCTCTACCTGCCTAAACTGAAGTTATCAATTCCCTCTTGAACGCTCCCATTTTCTTGGTACTCGGTGGTGCCACCACCCACCCAGCCACTCCAGCTGGAAACTAGGATGTCATCTTGACCTTCCTCCATGACTGCTTATCAATCCTGCACATTTTACTGCTAGAAAAATTTCTTGAAGGTTTCCCTTAACCATTGATTGCCAAAGTAAACTGATGTTGAATTGACAGCATAAGGTTTTTTCAGGTAATTTGGGGTCAAGCATGTGTACTTATTAAAAGCTCCCAATGAGATTCTGTGTATTTGGGAATTGCTGCCTTAGAGCATTTCTAAAACCCTGTATTAAAATAGGGGTGGGAAGTGGCAGGCAGCTTGGTAATCTAGCAAAGCAAGCTGACATTCATAGGAACTTTGGGCTGAACTCTCTGCTCTGGGAAATCCCTTTTCTTAGTTTCTGTGACACTTTAGATGTATTTTTCTTTGAATACAGCTGCATGCTTTTAAGTGATTTAAGTATGACCTACTTAGCTACTTAACACATGAATTAGTTAATTCAGTGTGTATTTATTATGTGCTTATGTGCCAGGGATAAGATGGAAGTAAGAGAGACCCAGTTCTTGCCTCAGTAATTTTACAGGCTAATAGAACATACTGTGCATTTTTCTTCTTCTTTAAGGTGCAAAATGATCTAACATTACAGAGTAATGGGAGCGAGTATTCGCCAAATGAGGTATGTTTTCTGAAGATTAATGGAGGCTGAGGTATTCTGTGAAGACTGAATTGGAGTATCCTTAAAAATATCTAAGATTGGCATGATTAATGAGTTAATTGTATTCCAGATTCTCTAGGGGAATCTCTCTCATTAGCTATCATAGCCCTATCTGGCTCTATCCGTAATTAAAGATTAATTTTATAAGATATATTTTGAAAACCAAATATAGGAACATCTTTATAGAAAACAGAGTGAAAAGAGCTCAAATAGGCAACATTTTGAATGCCTTGTTATCCATAAATGATTCAGCGTGCGGTTTCCCTGTAGATGAGACATCTGTTCAGTGTTATTCTGTTTCCTCATCTCATTATGTTATGAGATTCTCCATCAGATGTGCCTTCTGTGAGATGGATGTGAGTGTGTGCATGCGTGTGTGCATACACACACACGCATGCAGGCATCTGTGCCAGAGCAGAAAAGGATGGCCAGTTTCACATGATTGTAAAATATTTTTATAAGGAGCAAATAAGAAATTGCATGGTTCTTCCCCAAACAACATTCTGTCGATTATGCCACTTCAAGCATTTGAAGGTGCATGTATTATGACTTTTTAGCCAAGCCTTCATCACATAGCAGCAAAAGCTACAAGGTTGTGGTTTTATTATCATCCTTGGACAGAGAGAAGCATGCATAGTTCTGCTTCAGGTTTTTAAAAATTTCTTTTCCTCCTCACACCACAGATGAGAGAGAACTCCCCTGCAATCTCTCCCACCGCCAACAGCACAGCTCCGTTTGGCCTGAAGCCTCGATCAGGTAAATTAAAACCTCAGCGTTCTTACACTTGTCAACAACTCAGTGGTTTTTCTTTAGCCTTGTAAAAGTACACGTTACAGTGTGAAGGTCCTTATGAACTCTGGCGAGTTGGAGTCCTTGCATCAAAACCTTGCTACAGCTTGCAGAGGCTGGATTTCGGAGCCTCTTTTTCAGTGAATCGCCTATTAAGCCCATATTATCAGTAATAGATGAGCTTACCTCCATTTGAATCAGAGCAAAGAGAAAAAGGTGATGGGGCATGTAAGTGGGGAAGGAATATTGTCTTAAGTTTTTTTTTACCCATGGAAGAGAAAATAACTACCCCTTTCCCCCATGGTTCCTGGTACCCTGCTGGGGTAGGAGGCCTCTGGAAGGGTGACTCTTTGCTGAGACATGCCTCGTTTGCTTTCTGAGCCTGGGAGGGTCTGTGTATTTACTCATATAACAGGGTGATCATTTCAAGGCTCACCTGAGCCATCAGGAGTCACTTAAGAAAAAAAGCCTTTCTGCTTCTATCACCTACTTTCTTTTAATTTACTATTAGTATATTCACAAAAGTAAATTATAGCAATGTGCAAAATAACTATTGATTTTAAAAAGAAGGACTATGTATTGAAAGATTTAGTTCTTCTGTTTTCTCCATGTATTTAAAGTTCTGGTACTGTCTACCTTCTTTTAGGTCCTTCTTTGTTTAACATTTTTGATTCCTCGGTCTTTCACATACACTCAGTACTAATGCTAATGCTTCTAAGTAAGTGTTAAGAGAGGACTCAGACATTTTTAAGCAAAAGCTAGGAAAGAACTGGAGACCAGCTCATTGGTGTAGCGGATAAGTCCAGCAGGCTCCACTTTGGCAGCCTGGGTTTGCAGGTTTGGATCCCGGGTGTGGACCTACACCACTCACCAAGATGTGCTGTGGTGGCAACTCACATACCAAATAGAGGAAGATGGGCACAGATGTTAGCTCAGGGCCACTCTTCCTCACTAAAAAAAAAAAAGCTAGTAAAGAACTCAGATGTTCTTGGGTTTTTCAGTAAAGCATTTTGTCAACAGGAGAAGTTATACATGTGTATATTTTGCAAAAGGGTACCCGTAGAAAAAAACAAAGATGATTCTTTTATGGAAAATGTTTCATTTTGGGAGCAAGTTGACTGATGGGTAATGTGGTTGCATATAACCTGCTTCCCAGCATTTTGAATGGGCTGTAAGACAAAGCCATTTGAGACAATGTTTAGGCGTGGCAGGGGTTGGTAGTGTTTTATGGAAAGCCAAATAGCTCATGAAATAAAACTCAATGGCTGGCCTCCTCGTTTATGGAAGTGAGCATATTCTGCCAGCTCTGGGCTGGGGCTGGGCCAGGTTTCTATTTCCGTGTCGCAGGTGTGTGCTGGGAGAAATGGAGGTCGCTTGGGGTACATCTCATCCTTTAGTGCCTTTAGTGACTGCCTGCCAGGAGAGTTGTCTCTACACACTGAGAACCTCATATTGCCCTATAGGCTTTCTTCTCATCCTTACAGGCAGTTTTACATAATTTAAAAATAGGTCATAATTGAGCAAATCAAAAGTTGAGTGAATCGCCAAAGAACAATATTCTTTTAAATGCGCATCTTAGCAATTTAATTGTAAAATTGTCTCAGTGACTTTTTTATTCCTTTATGGAGTCCAAACTCGGCTTATCAATATTGTACTTGCACTGTTAAACCATTTCAAATTCTTTGTAGTGGTGAAAAATAAATAGAGTATTTATTTTGAATAGCAGAAAACAAAGATAATTTCCAACCTTCCAGCCTTTCTATCCTGCTGACTAACCAGTGTGGAAATTGTTCTAGTGTTGAAAGCTTTGTGGAGTTTGATTGCTGTAAATAATGTGATTTATCTTCAGGAACATCAAGTAGCATGTTGAAACTTTTAAAAGCTAACGTTATGTATTAGGAATTTTTTTCATTTTATTTAGTAATTTAAAAATATTATAGTATGTATTTTTCACATTTTCTAGAAAATAATATATGTAGTAATCTTAATTGAAAATTAGTGATTAAAGAAGATACAAATTCTTTTCGATTGAGTAGCTTTGGAACTTTTGAAAGACAATTTTTATTTTAAAGTTAAGTACATGGATTTATATGATTTCTGTGTTACAGATAAAAACAGACTACTCATATGAGCCAGTTGGAATAAGAATTTAGAGTCTTAAAGCAGGCTGATAGTTTTCTTAAAGAAAGTTTTTTTTTTTCGCTTCTGTGTTTTCCTCCAAAGAAAGACCACTGAATATACCCAAGTATTCATTCCTAGAACCATGTCCATTTATTTTACTGGTGCTGTCTTACAAATGAATAAAAAGTGTATAGATAGTTCCTAAACATATAAAATTACTCTATGGATATTTAGTGCAGAAAAAAAGAGATATTATCCTTTCATAAATGACTAACTCAGAAGTGCTTGAAATTGATTGACATCTATTGGTTAACGTTAAAGAGACTCTACTAGTGTCTAAAACTGTGTTTATACTGGTTAACATCGAAGACGTTATTGGGAGGTGTGTGGACTAGTGAACTATCATAAAGCATGCCGCTAGACTTACAGATGTCTTCAAAGGGAAATTTTACATTGCCTTGGGAAAAAAGTTCACGAATGGTAAACACTGATGCTATAATAGTTTTATTTCTAAATAATAGATATATTTACACATATTAAGCTTTGTCTGTGTAACCAAATTTTTTGTGTGAATCATATTTGCTAAAGTTGTTATTTAGAAGGTCTTTGAAAAGGTATCTGGTAGGTCTCTTGCTTTTTATCTGCATAATCTATGGGTACTCTCTCTTCCTGCTGACACGATTCATTAGTACTCTAAATCTGGGCTTGCAGAACTGTTAAGATTAACGATATTAACTGCATGCAGAGTATATGATTGATAAGTACTAACACTCAGTTTTTATCATTCTTTTTATTCCATGCGCCATCTTTCATTCTTCTCCTATATTGTACATTTGAAATTAAACCCCATAATATGAAATTCGCTTCATTTCCATACAATCTTATGCCATTTGTGAAATGCTGCTGCCCCTTTGGTTTTTCCTGGGTCCTTGTGCAACTGTACGCGGACTGGCTCTCTCGCTCTCCTGCAGACCCCGCCCTCACTCTTCCTCCTATCTCCTTCAACAAACTTACACAGGCACAAACATGGGACAACTCTAGCTACAGTGTTCCATCTGAAGGAGACAGTGACAATGGTAGGTGGCTTTGTACCTATACTTCAATGTGTTCATTAATAAACCAATGAATATACTGAACATTCAGTTCTGTGCAGCTGAAGATAGAGTGTTTTCCTCTGCATGCCTGACAGAAGAAATCATGAGTAAGCCTGGAAAGTGAAGTCCAGAAAATTGCATGTGGATTCTGCTCTAGCAGTTTGTCAAACTGTGTTTAATTATCTCGCATATTCTGAATTTTGGGAGGACTTTATAATAATTTCTTTTCTACCTTTTCTGCTTGGGGTTTTGTTTTATTTGCAAAAATTTGGGGTTTGCACATTTGGATCATCTCTGCTTGCTCCTGTGTCTGAACTAAATGCCCTTAGAGTCTGAGCTTTCATTATCTAGTTTACCATATGAGATTTTTAAGGTAATTAAGATGTTCCATGGCTGATCCTAGAGTGGCGCACTGAAAATAATGTTAATATTGAGAAGTTTCTAAAGATGAGGAGAAATCACTTCCTTTCTCCCTTTTAATTTTTTTGCAAACTATTTGTACATTTTGACTTTTGATACCTATCTTGTTGAGTGTAAATTCATCTATGTAATATTCAAAAATAGTAACTTGGCTTGAGAATAAAATGTGCAAATAAAAAATTGAGGACACCTGTCTAGGATTAGTGTGATATATCTTTTAATTTCATACCATTAAATATTTTAAATAGCATAAGAGACAAAAATAAAATAAATATAATTAATTAGATCTACATACCATGTACATCTGAATCTCCATTCTAGTCTAATGTTAATTCAGATTTTAAACATTTTATTTCAAGATACAGAGTGATAAAAGTAATGTTAAACGAAACAGAGTATGATTTATAGGGAAGAGAAGTGACATATGAAGTCTAACCATAATGAAAACACAATAAGAAGATATATTTTCTGACAATACTTATTTTTTTATTGTGCTATACATAATACATAAAAATATATATTTAAAACATTTATGTGCTGTGATTTTTGGTCAAAATTCAACCAAAAATGCTTTCTCAATTTCCTTATGTAGAAAGATAATGTATATTTTGTTAGGTTAGTTATAAAAGGAATTTTATTATTTCATAGCTTTCTCAATTTTTTAACTGAAAATAAGTATGATTAAACAAGAACAACCGTGAAACAAAAATCCCTCCTTATATCAGCCTATTTTAAATTCTGGAAGTGGAAAAAGGCCAAATGGAAACTTTCTTGATAAACTAACTGTTCCTTTACTTAAAAATGAAAAAAAGAGGGGAGAGGCATTTTTGCTTTTCAGAGATCACGGCTATTTATGGGTCTGACGTTGTTTAAAGGAAATAAAGCCTCGAATGAAAGATTTGTGTGTGACTTGGTATTTCCTTAGAAGCGATATCTGAATCCAGAGGACTTTTTTTTTTTTTTTTTTAAGCTGGGGACGATCTAGGCGTCTTCTGTAGCAGTAGAATTTCTGTCTTTACAGATGAACCACTAGAATGAGAAGGGTGAGCTCAGGTGGGGCCCCGCCCGGGGTTCTGACTCCACCACAACCCCCTTCATTCTTTGGCTCTTTATTGAGGACTCTGGGCAAGCTCCTAAGCCAGACTGCCTTCTTTTTATTAAAAATCCTAAGATTTCCATAGAAAATAATAATTGTGAAAAATCGTTCTGCAAATAAAATAACCTTATAATACTCAGTTGGTATTTTTTGTATGAGTGAAAAATCCCAGGGATTCACTTGTAACTATCAGGCTGTACCATGATAATAATGAAGGGGTTGTTTTCAATATTCATGTGGTTCAGTCCTTCACGTCAGACAATTGGCGGCTGTCATTTTTTCCTGCTTGCAATGTGTCTAGAATAAGCCCCGGGCAACAGATCATTTTCTGTGCAGAAATCTTCTTTGCAAATATTTATGCAGTTTCTCAGATCTGATTTTTTCATGCACAGTCTTCATTCTCTTTGTGCCAAACCTTGCCTTGTGATTGAATACATTCTCTAATACATTTTTTAAATTAATGAAGCTGCACTATTTGCATCCGCAGGTATATGGGCTACTGTTGCAATAGGAATACAGCCTACTTTTTTTCTTGTTCTTCCTGGTTCCTCTTAAGCGGGAGATTCTATTCAGAGGCCTCTCTTGGCATTTCAGAGCTGATTACCACATCAGTTTAGTTTCCTCGTATTTTCTCTATTATCCAGTATCTGCAGCTATCTCAACCTTTGTAAATAAATGGCATCTTATTACCGACTCAACCCAGCGTCATGTTACTTGCCTTTCATTTATATTCTTTAGTTATTATTTTTGGTCAAGTTGGCCTTTTTATACCTTGTTCACTGTCTCACTTTATATTAAAATGCCCCTTTACTTAAATTCTTTCCAATATTCCATTCCAAATAGATCTCATTTTAAATTCCCCATTTTCTCTAAAATCATTCTGCAAAGAAATTGGAAAATGGCAGCTGGCTAGAAGGTCTTTGGGAGTTTGAATTCCCACAGTCCCCGAAGTTCTGCCTCTTGAGCTGAATGGGGAGCATCTGGAAGTGTGTGTAGGTCTGTCTGTCCCTGGGGCTGGTTGGGGCGGCTTCCCTTCAAGTTATTCTGAACTTAAAAACTTCACTTCTGCTCTTTCTGTCGTGCTTCTCACTACTCTGCATCTTTCCTTCCTTTTCCTCTTTGCTTTCACGTTAAAGCTGTTCCTATCTTCTTTGAGTCATTTTCCCTTTTTCATTTGCAATGAATTGGTGGGGGGTAATTTGTGCTTATTTAAAATTGATCTTTAAATTATCACTGGGGAACGAATGAACGGACATATCTGTCTTGGGCCAGTTTACAGACATTTTCCTTAATTTTTACTATAATCTTGCTCTTTTAGGTATTATTTTCCCCATTACAAAAATGAGGAAAGTGAGGCCAGGAGGGGTATTTTAGTGATTCTTTACTGTGGCTTCATATTAGAGTCACCTGGACATTTTTTAAACTATAACTGCCTATGCCCCGCACTCAGAGATGCTGATTTATTTGGTGTAACCTGGGGTCTTAGCCATGATTATGCTTTTTTTACTGACTTTGTGTTGTGTTGAAGAAGGTGAAAGTCACTGAGTGAAGTCAATTTTCCAAGACCATAGAGAGAAATGTGAGCATTTTAAGGGCAGAGAATTTATATAATTCATTTTTGGACGCCAAGAGGGAATAAATGAATGAGCTAGTCAGATTCCTAACTCACATTGTCCTGGATCTAAAGCCCATGATGATTTTTCAAAGCCATCATGTTGCTGCCCTTGCCTCTGTATATCTGAAACATCACACTCAGTCCACATTCTTAACTTCCAGGCAGAAACTGAGCTAAATTTCAAAACTTCATGCATCCACAGAGATTTGCCTCCACAAATTTCCTCTCATTGAGTTAAATTTAGATAATCAAGGTTAATAATATAGACTGATAATTTCTGTATGAAGAGTGCGTTTCACGTAGTAATTAAATAAGTAACATTTCAGGCAGTTTTTAGAGCAGTGGGCTTTCTTTGCTTAACTAAAAGATATTCTTACAACTATTACAGAATTGGTTTCTTGTGTACGTCCTTAAATATCTATTGAGTGCCTATTATGTGCTAGGCATGATGCTCATTACCATGGATACAGCTCTGAAAAAGACAGACAGATTTCTGCTTTCATGGAACTTTTATTTCAGAGTCTAATGTGTTCAGACCTGGGAACTAAGTTTTAGGAGACTTTTTGTGACAAGAAGAATTCAGGTGCCTGTTTATTAGAGTAGGATAATTTCTGCAAAGATACTCTCCAAATAGACTGATCTTTGAATGAGGGAGTTTTTGAAACACTTGTTTCATTTATTCATCCAACAAACTGCTGTGTGGGGCAGGGGTAGAGGTACAAGTTGGAAACAGACTTAAACGCTTGCAAAATCATAATGGAAAGAAACAGGTCTACACTGTAAGACAGAAAGCGATGAGTGGATTGAGATAGACGCATATGAAGAATTTTGTACGTTCATAGCAGACACATCACTCCCAGGTCTGGAATGAGGATGAAGAAAGTGAAGGAAGAGGTAGAGATAATGGGGAAATCAGTGGAATTTGACCTGTACCTGCAAGGATGAATTTAATATTCTGCATAAGCATATGCATCATTCTCTGCAGGGTCTTTGCTTAGAAATTTGTCTCTTCTGCTAAATAAATTACAAATAGGAGCAAATTGTCTTTTTCATTCTTGAAATGTTGTTTATTCGATATTTAGTAATTAAACAGTTAAGTAGGACTGATTGTTTTCCTGCATCTTAAATCACCCACCTCCTTTTCTCTTCCTATTCCTTAGGCTATGCACGGATGCGTGTGCATGCGTGCACACGTACACACACACCCACTGTGCTCTTGTGCTCCCTTGTCCCTCTTTATTCCTTCTTATTTACACTTAAATAGTCAAGGTGGCATTTGATTTGAAAAACAGATACTAACAGTGCGGCTCTTCTTAATATTGTCTTTTAGCCTCAAGTTAAACTTGTATTCCCCTGAATTAAGTGAGAAAGTTCTTGAGATTTAGTGATATGAAATTAAGGAAGAACCAGAATAATTCTTCCACAGATCAATTTCTTGAAGCTTTGACCCAGGCTGGTCACTGCCTTTATTATTTAAATATGACCCGAAAGAAAAAAAAACTGTAGTAATATAATCAGAGCTTCCATAATGGTTCCATTAAAATTATTCTGTCCTACCAAACCCAGCAAAATAAGCACTGATGTGCTCCGTAGATTTATTATTCGGCTAAAGAGTTTGTTTTAAATTCTAATATATTCCACAATATTAATCCATTAGAAAACTTGGAGCATTATAGTCAATGGTTTCCAGTAATTTTATGTACCATTTGAAGTGTTCATTTAAAAAAACCACAGTTCATATGTATTTTAACACTTTGTGATTGCTTAACATTCATAGAACAAATACCCAAGCATGCATTTTGTATTTTTAAGACGCATAGGAATTTAAAATGAAAAGCGATGCCAGGAAATTAAAACCTAGACACTGTTGCGTTATTTTATCTCACATAGGGTTCTAACAAGGGCTAGATACTTGCATTGTGTACTGTTAAACAGAAGCTCACGGTTCATTTAACTTCTTGGTAATTTCGTATTCCGAAATAAATCTGCCAATAAAAACATATTGGAAATATTAATCATGAAGTTTTAGATAAGCTTGCCCCCAGAAAAAAAGGCAAAGGAAAGTAAAACCTCCAAAGAAAACATTCGATTTGGTCAAACAGTGTTTGGACGCCCCCTGCTGGCTACCGTGTGTATTACTCAACTCTGTCCGCATTCCTTGACTTTTTTGGTAAATTCGGTTGATTTACTTTCTTTGAGGATGTGGATGATTTCTCCATTTTACATTTTAATATGTATCTCTTCTGGTTGCTGTGTTTAAGTGGGTAGATTTTTTTTTGCTGGGCTTGATATGGTGTAAAGGCAAATTTAATGCATTTTCAGTTACTTCTATGCTTCTATTTTGGCTAGCTTTTCTTCATTTCCCTTTGCTCTGTGAGCTTCTCATTTCTCCCTGCCGGGTTACTCTACCCTTCTTCCTTTGGCAGCCTTGTATTTATTTTGGAAACAATTGGTCTCACTTCCTGCGGGTTTGGTTTTTGTGGTCTTGCTGACAGCCCTTCGGTGACATGCCTTTGGCTCCTTCTGCCTGTGACTTCCCTGGGTGGCTTGAGGCAGAGGCCCAGGCCCCAGGCTGGCTCCTCTCTGGGGTTCCAGAAGGCGTTATGTACATTAGATCTTCCACTTTCCCCATTAACTGTAAGTCAAGGGTTTATTAAGACGTGTCAACTTTCTGGTCTTCCACAGAGCATTGAATGCTGATTCAAACATCCTAGAACTGATTTAGAAAGAAATCACTGAGATGTGAGAAGTATAGTGCAAGTCATTTACTAAGTTGATTTGGTCCGAAGATAGACACTGAGATTAAAATGACATGGTTGGGTGAGCATGGGATAATTGATTATATGGAGTAGACTCAAGTTTTTTTATTTGAAGTATATTTGTAAACCATATTTAAATTTTTTTAAAAAACCAATAAATTTAAACAGCTTTTAAAGTGGCTTATAGGAAATGTTTGTCAGAAAAGAATAAAAGTTGCATCATCTTCTTCTACATTGTTTAAAATATGCTGATTGAAGCTGCTAGTGTGTCAGTGCAGCCTTCTACGTGGTATTGATTTTTAAAATTGGAGTTCTCTGCCCAAAATTTCCTGAAGGGATCCCCCACCCTCTGGAAAAGAAACCACTCATGCAATCTGAAAGTCTGTGGGACGGGTGTCCAAAGGCGGCTCTTCCCAGCCCTTTGCTCCCGCTGGTGCGCGTGGAAAGTTGACAGGCTTAGTAGGATAAAAGTCTCTAGGAAGAAAACAGTTCAAGTTTAAATCCGCCCCGGGCTTTGTATCATAATAAAAATTGATTAAAGCCCTTGCTATAATCACTCTGTCATATGTAGAATATTTTATACCTTCTTTATTAGTCTTTAAAAGATGTCATCCTTCAGAGCTTTAGAGCATACATTTTCTCTGGAGCCAGAAGCTTAACTCCGTTCAGAGGGAGTGCCACTGTTCGTTGCTATTCTTGGAGCTCATAATTTTAAGGACCTGAAGCCAAGGATGATCTCTTAAACTGCCTGTAATCTTGCCAACTTTAAAAGGAGTCTATGGTCATCTCTGAAGAGCCAACTTTCTGGATACAGTGTCAGTGATGTGATAGAAGGCAGAGTTTTTCCCCTTCACGCTCAAATATGTAATCCTATGTATCATCACTTAGTTCTTAACCCAGGCTTATGAAAAATCTTAACCAAGAAAATCATTAACCTGTGCTTATTTTTAATATGTAAAACAATTCTGAGTCTTCTTATTTGAAACACATTATCTGAATTTAAGGAAAGGCTGGTGAAAACTCGAGTGTAAATGAAAATTTAGAAGGAAAGCTGTGGGAAAATGAGAGAGAAGGGACAGCTGTCAGAGAAATGGTCTGGAATGGTTCCCGGGATGACCGAGACCCTTTCCTGGATTCAGTTTATCACCAAAAGATGCAGCTTTGTTAGTCCACTCAACGCAGTATAATTTAAAGTATAATCTTCTTTAGAATATTCAAATCAAGCTTTTCATGCTGTCAGAATTTCTTTGTTTGTGTGAGTGGTAAATGAATTATTTGGGATAAATAAATAAACTATTTGTTTAATTTAAATATGAATAGCTCTAAATGGCAACTGGTACCTGGCATTCCATAAGGCTTTTTTTTTCTCCTTTCTATTATAGTGTTTCTAAGACCTCAGAGAAATTTGGAATCTATAGACCCGCAGTTTACAATTCGGAGGAAAATGGAACAGATGAGAGAAGAGAAAGAGGTGGTGGAACAACTCCGTGAGGTACCCAAGAAACATTCTATAACTGAACAATCATTTTCAGAATTGAAGCAGCATCCTATATTTTTAAAAAATAGACTTTGAAGCACTGCAAACAGACCTAGTTTCAAGTCTAGCCAGGTCGCCTACTGACCGTCTGATGTTGGGCAGGTCACGTAACATCCTTGAGTTTTAGTTTTTTCATGTATTAAAAAAATAGTTCTGCCTTAGTAGGGTTTTGAGAAATATATGAGATAATGTAAGCAGAAATAATAATGTGTATAAAAGCTAGTATTATTTCTTTTTTTTTTTTAAAGATTTTATTTTTTCCTTTTTCTCCCCAAATCCCCCCCGGTACATAGTTGTATATTCTTCGTTGTGGGTTCTTCTAGTTGTGGCATGTGGGACGCTGCCTCAGCGTGGTTTGATGAGCAGTGCCATGTCCGCGCCCAGGATTCAAACCAACGAAACACTGGGCCGTCTGCAGCGGAGCACGTGAACTTAACCACTCAGCTACGGGGCCAGCCCCAAAAAGCTAGTATTATTTCAATTCAGGTTTCCTTTAAACTAAGGCACTTGTTCATTTGCTTAATAACAATAGTCCATTAATTTAAAGATATTTATAGTCATCCTTACTTTGTCCCCCGAACTGGTCAGAACTTCTTAATCAATAATTTAATAGGCAAAACTTTTGAGTTCGTACCAGGGATGAAGTCTTGTGCTGGGTGCCATGGAAGATTTTAAGCTTGGCAATGGCAGGGACCATGGCTGTCTTATTCCTTGTTGTGTTTCTGTTTCCACACAGCTCCTAGTGGATACTCTGTAGGTCTTTGTCTACCCTCGTGGTCTTTGTGTCTAGTTAGGGAGATCACACATAAATATGTGGAGGGTCAAATAGCAATACGAGGGTCAATCGCCAAAGAACACATTGGTAATAGTTATTAAAGGCAGCACATCGTGAATTGCTACATAAATTCTGTCTTCAAAGAGAAATACTGTAGCCAGGAGCTGGAAGAGTATAAGGAGCTTCTTGGAAGAGAGAGATTTTATGCTACATCTTCTCCTTTCACTGGCAGATTGTTGTGGACTGCCGCTGTGTGCCAGGCGGTTTTCTAGGCCGTGGCTACAGGAGAGAACCAAAAGGTGCCTGCTCTCCTGAAGCCTATAGTCTGCTGGGAAGAGATAGTAAATAAGAAGGAAGCAAATAAATGCACAATTTCAGATGGCAATGAGTTCTACAAATGAGCGATGAATCTATAAATAAAGTGACATTGAGGGAGGTCTGCATCTTTGTTGTTGCAGCTGATACTTTGTAGACGGTTTAGCAGGTCGTCAGGAGGAAAGAACTAGAACCTTAGAGCCTCTCACCACCACTTTAAGCCACGTTGTTGAGTCAGCAGTCACGTGGGGATAGTCAGAGCTCCATCATTTCCTAGAGCATTGGATGTGCTGTAAACTTGGGAGGGGAGCTTTCAGAGATGTGTGAAAAGACGATCAGAAGCTGAGAGATGCCTCTCAAAGAGTGATACAGTTCTATCTGAAAGCCTGGGTCGTATTGATCCCTTACGTTTTAATTTAGTGATGTAAAATTAGAGACCGAAAGAGTACTTAGAAAAAAATGAGGTGTTTAGACACAGGACAGTCCTGAAAGAGAATTATATAACACTGTGCTATGCACTCGTTTTCAAGTGCTTCGTTTATTGCAATCTCCAAATTTAATCCTTTTTTAGGCTATTAGCCATTTAAAAGGAGGTTCTGTTGTAAAGCAGAAACTTGTGTTGAAAGTTTAAAAAATTGATTTCTTGGGGCTGGCCCAGTCGCGCAGTGGTTAAGTTTGCATGCTCTGTTTCGATGGCCTGGGGTTCACCGGTTCAGATCCCAGGTGTGGACCTACGCACTGCTTGTTAGGCCATGCTGAGGCAGGCATCCCATATATAAAATAGAGGAGGACTGGCACGGATGTTAGCTCAGGGCCAATCTTCCTCAAAAAAGAAAATACGATTTCTCTACTTCTGCTTTTGAGAAGAGGGAGTAGATGTACTTTTTGCCATTTCTCCTACTAGTTACTACCCAAACTCCCCAACACTATATATAAAATAAACACCAGAATGCTTTGAAAGGTGAAGAGAAGGAGGTAGACCAGCTGGGGTCCTTGGGACTAGGAATGACACAGTGGGGAGTTCTGTAGGATTCTTTTTTGCCTCATATTTTTCAGGCTTGGAGCTGAAGTAGCCAGAAACTCAGAAATGTTATTGGGCACAAATTAAAACAAAAAAAATGGGGCTGGCCTTGTGGCCTAGTGGTTAAGTTCAGCATGCTCTGCCTTGGCAGCCTGGGTTTGGTTCCCAGGTGCAGACCTACACTACTTGTCAGTGGCCATGCTATGGCAGTGAGCTACATAAAAAATAGAGGAAGAAGACTGGCACAGATGATAGCTCAGGGCGAATCTTCCTCAAGCAAAAAAAGGAAGATTGACAATAGATGTTAGCTCAGGACCACTCTTCCTCACCAAAAAAAAAAAAAAAAAAAAAGCCCCAACAAAAGCTTGCTTTCTTTAGTCAGAAGACAAGGAAAGGGGCAGCTTAGTGAGACAGAACACTTTTAGACAATAAATGCTGTACTCCAGCTAAACACCACAGAAAAAATTGTGGCTTCACCCTTACCCATGCCAGCAAAGACCAGGTTGAAGGCTAGACTTCCAGCCTTGCTGGGCTGGAATCAGAGAAGGCCAAGACAGGAGCCAGGAATTTCACCCCCACAACTGGGAACAAGCCTGCCTCCTCCATGGCCTCAGTGGAGACCACATAGGGAGCCTGGATTCTCACCCCACCTAGCAGTACAGCTCCCCTCCACCCCCCGCCCCAGTCAACTGAGACCAAGTGGAAAACCTGGATTTCTGGATACACCAGCAGTAACAAGGTGATAACCCCCCTTTCCCTGTTAGAGCAGTGTCCACAAAAGCCACTTAAAACAGAAGATTTAAATAGGATCCAGAGTCTCAACATAGTACCAGAAATGTCTAGGCTTCAACCAAAAATCACTCGTCCTACCAAGAAGCAGAATATCTCAAACTGAATGCAAAAGGACAATCAACAGATGATAACCCTGATGTGGCAGTGATGTTAGGATCATCTGACAAAGATTTAAAGCCTTCATGCTAAAAATGCTTCAATGAGCGATTACAAACCATGGTTGAAACAAAGGAAAAAATACAACACCTCACCAAAGAAATAGAAGATATAAAGAAGAGCCAAATGTAAATTTAGAGCTGAAAAATACATTATTCAAAATAAAAAGGCCATATAAAAAGTAGATGGCTCAACAGAAGAATGGTGATGACGAAGGATAAAATCAGTGAGCTGGAAGAAAGAACGACAGAAATTACCTAATCTGAACAACAGAGAAAACAGACTGAAAATAAATGGGCAGAGCCCCCGGGACCTGTGGTGGTATAACAAATGATACACATTCCCGTCCTGGGAGCTCTGGAAGGAAAGGAGACAGAGGGCAGGGCTGAAGAGGTGCTTGGGGGTGGGAGCGAAGGGGGTGTGGCCACAAAAGGGCAACAGGCGGACTCCTTGCGGGGATGGAGATGCTCTCTATCTGGACCCCATCAATGTCAGTATCCTGGTTGTGATATTGTAGTGTATTTTTGCAAGTTGTTACCTTTGGGGGAAACTGGGCAAAGGGTGTATGGGATCTCTCTGTATTATTTCTCATAACTGCATATGAATTTATATTTATCTCAAAATAAAAAGTCTAATGTTTTGAAAAGAGGGAAAAATCCATTTCTCTACTAAAACATAGTCTAAAAGAAAAGCGTCCCTTAATCCCTCTTCTGCCCCTTGCAGCCTGTCTGAACCAGTTAGGGTTTGGTTTTTATTGGTCAACTCTTCTGCTTTTCTCTTTTTATAGCCAAGGCTGAGGCAACATTGAACTCCAGAAGTGGTTCCATTATTCCTTTTATTCAACTAATTAAAAATTTTAGACACAACTCAATTTGTTTGTCTACAGAGAGATTTTTGCTTTAATGTCCTTTGAAAAGATTTAAATGATGTCAGTGTTCTCCAGGTGTTCTTATCCTTCTCCCCCATAGTGAAATGGACATCTCAGTTCATAAATACCCGTTAACTGTATTTTAGCCTCCGCTGCCTGATAGCGACTGGCTTCCTTCTGATTTCCCCAACAGAGCATCGAGATGAGACTGAAGGTGAGCCTGCATGAAGACCTGGGGGCTGCGCTCATGGACGGCGTCGTCCTCTGCCATCTGGTCAATCACATCCGCCCGCGATCCGTTGCCAGCATCCACGTCCCCTCGCCAGCAGTTGTAAGTAGCGCCATAGACAGGGAAACTAACTGACATAAAACAATTCTTTTGGGACAGTGTTGCTGGTTAAAGATGCCCGTGGGATCACCAGGACCCCACACACCTAGGAGAGCAGAAAAGGCATAGGTCTGAATGAAGCAACATTTTCACTGGAAAAGGGAGACTGTTTTAAATAACGGTATAAATGACAGAAAAAGAATTGATTTCAGATATAGAGCAAATCATATGAAAAAATTACTGGTTGGAGTGCTAACTTTAAGACTGTAGGGGCATAAAGATTCACTTCCCACAAGGCGTTATTTGAACAGTGAGAAGTCTTTTCGGAAAGCTTCTTTTGATTGGTGGCTTCCCTTCTAAATGGACTCTCTTTCCTTTATCAGTCATTGGGGATTTTAGGAGAGTGCTGAAAAGATGTGGATTCTTTGTGAAATATCGTTAATAACCAATCAGGCCAGAGGTTGCTCAGCCAGCCATAAATTCAACAATTCCTTGATCGCTCACTGTTCTCAAGGGTGTGTTGGCGATACTGGGGGAACAATGGGGAAAGTGGAGATGAGAGAGATGCCATTAATGCCCTAAAAATCCTCATCTTCCCTGTGTTGGGGGACAAGCTGGCACGTATGCTGTGATCCTCTTCCTATACGTCATGGAGCGTGTTACCATCCAGAAGAAAGCCACTGCGTCAGTTTTATGGCCATTCAGATGAGGGTGGGGGAATCAGGAACAAGCTTGTCTTTGAAGCCTATGTCGGGTTCAGACAAGCAGAGAAGAAAGAAGTTTCTCTCCACACTATTTGCTTTTTGCTAGGAGAGGCAGAAGAGTTTAGGGGCTAAAAAAGTAGGTTTTTGATGCAAATCCCAGATTTTCCTAGAAGCCATCTGACTTTGGGCAAGTTATTTAACCTCTCTTTAATTTGCTTTGCTCTTCTTTGCGATGGAAATATTCTTATGAGGATGCAATGAGGTACTACACGTGATAGACACATGAATGTAAGCCATTATTATCATTAGTTTATAGAGCAGATTTTCAAAAGCCAGAACCGCTAAGCTCAAGGTACGATGTTCATACATATCTGGTAATGAGTGTGTCGGCTGAAAGGCTCAGTGAAGTCCCTCTGCACCCTCCCTTGCCCCTCAGGAACGCCTCACATCGTTTGTCCTAGTTTCTTTTCTCTTGGCAGCAGGAAAAATTAGCTGATGATCCCATTTCGACTGTCTGTTTCCTGTCTATACTATGGAACATATTTTTCCTTTGAAAAGTCGGACCCCTTTTTTGCCTCAGAAAACATAGGGGAAAGAAGATCAATTTGTCTTCTCCTTCAAATCTGTCTGTAACTGCCTTAGTTTGAGCAGTAAATTTTGTCCTATAATCCAGTGTGAAACTTTCCAGTATTTAATTATAAATGGGATCCCAATTATGAATGGGATCCAAACTGCTATGAAGTTGTCTGAGCCGTGTGCCAAATTTCCATTTAATAATTTTTCCTGAATTGTAAGAGAGCGACTGTGACTCCTCAGCCTCCAATTTGAATGAACAGTTATCATTTTACAAGATGTGAGAGGATGCTATGAATCATGCATCTGTACACATTTGTATATCTTATTAGCTCTTCAGGGAAAATGATACATTCTTTTAGAAATCCTTTGGTTGTCGCCTTTTTTCTTCTTTAAGTAAATTTTTTTAATTGAAAATAGAATGGGAAATAGTGCCTGATTGGAGAAAAAGAGGAAATAGAGAAATGCAGAAGAAAAATAAATCATCCTTTACCCCACCACCCAAAGACAATCACTGTCAACATTTTGTCTTCTATACTACTAGCCTTCTTTCTGCATTTTTTTTAATTGTCGGCATCTCCTATATACTATTTAGTTGTTTTTAAAATTTATTATTAAAACCTAAATATTCTCCCACATCATTAAAACTCTTCATAAATATCCATTTTAATGATTCTAACATTTTAGCTTATGTCATTACATTGTAGTTTTCCTTTTTAGAGATGCAGGCTGTTTTTAGATGTCCGCTTCTCAGAAATTCTTCAGCGAGCGTCTCGAAGCCCCCAGTGACCAGGCCCAGCCACGCTGCGGCCGGAAAACCTGCTCCCGTCTCTGGTCTGTGCCATCACTCTCCACCCCAGTGTCTGCACAGGTTGCTCTCTCGACACGAGAGGGCGGCTCCCACCTGCCTCCAGAGCTGCTCACCTGCAGCATCACGAGCTCCCATTTCTCCTCTACTTTAGTGTTGACAAGAGGCAAGCCATTCTTAGCACTGAGTTGGATTCTTTTCTTTTTTTTTTTTGTTCCTATAGCAACCTCCCCTCAACTAAGACCTATATACTATACTATACTATGATCTCCTTTAACTTAAACACAGTCATATCTGCGCCATCAGCAGTAGATGAGAGTGCCTTTTCTACCTGGGTTATGGCCAGCGTTAAGCATTCTCATTTTTCATTCATGAGACTAATATTGTCCATTTTTTGTGCCAAGCTAAGGAAAGGTAGTCATAAACAGAATCACTATCATTGTCAGTATGCTAAGGAACAGTCTCTTAAGTTGGATTTCCCCAGTCTTTGACAGTTTAGTAAGCTGAACACTGGTATCCCAGTTTGTGCACTTGCTGTAATTTTTGATTAGTTGACCAATGGTGAGGTTGAATCAAGTCATTGTATTCGTAACAAGCGCTTTTCTAACTCAAAGTAGGCAACAATCTTAGAATGGGCCCTCCCTCACTTCCAGAGATGGGAAATTTTCTTTATGTAGCTTGAAACATGTTGACTTTACTAGGCTGACCTAAATATTTTGAATGGTGTTGGGCATCTTTGGAATTTAAGAACAGACTCTCCTAAATCATGAGTAGATGAAGGAAGATAATGGCTTAGAGGATCAGAGAGACAAATGTTAGGGTCTCAGTATGATGAAATGCCTCTTGGTGCCCTATCTTCTAGGCTGGGACCTATTTCCGTTATCCCCATGTCACATTACCTGTGAGTGTTCCTTCTCTTTGCATGAGGCTTAATGCAGTGGTCTTGCAGGGGGTGGGCAAAGCCACCCAAGCAGCTTCTTGCCCACCCTTTGCAGGCCTCGTGTTGAGCGGCACCAGTTCCACTTTAGCCAACACGGAGAATGTTTGTTTAGTCTCTAAATTAAATTGTTCCACATCAGCAGTCTTTCTTTCTTTCTATTTTTTGTGTGGGGTGGGGTGGGGGGAGACATAGAGAAAGCCCCTTTTTTTAATAAATATTGTGCAGATTTAGGTTTTTATGGTGATTTGGTGTGGTTCCCTGTAAGATGGAATAAGGGTCGCTTCACGCTCATTAACAGGGTAAGGTCGGTCTATGAAACACTGCTCCTGCCCCTAGGCTGTTGGAGTCAGTCATGCTTCTTGCTTCCCTTTTTAAAAGAACTTATAGTGGAATATTAAAATTTAGCATGTGCACAGCTTTTAAAACTTACCATGTGAAAATTAAAACATGTGAGTCAGAGGTACCTGTTATCCATCCCACACCTTAGAGGTCACCTAGCCAGGATCAGCTCGATCATGAGAGGCTCTTGGTTAAGTCCTGCCATTTTCGGGGTCATTTACCTCCATGATGCCTCTTTCTAATTAAACCTGTTGCTTTGCTGGGAAGGAGATTAATTGGCCTGGTGAATTTATCCCTTCATATAGAAATATATTTGCTGATGGGAAAAGGTGATGCCTGTGGTGTATTTTTAGGTGAACTAAAGCAGGTTATGCAAGAGTGTGATCTCATAAAAATTGTATGTATGTATATGTGTGTGCATGTGTATATATATATATATATATACATATATATATACAGACACTAACCTACATATGCAGAAACTTTGCATATGCACACATACAGGTATATACATGGATACAGATATACATGCATACATACATGCAGAAATTTTGCATATATACACATATCTGTGTATATACATAGATATGTATATCTTTGTATATGCACACACATGCGCACATGATGTCTGGAAAAATATAATGAAAATATTAATAGTTCTTAGCTATAGGTGGATGTTTCTAGATATGTTTTTATTGTCTTCTATTTGCTCATGTGTTTTTCTTCAATAAAATATATTACTTGTGCCATTTAAAAATTAGAACGTTTAGAATTTAACCTGTTGTTAAAGTTATTTCTCTTTTAATAATTCATTATTTCTGTATATTTGCATTTATAGCCCAAACTTAGCATGGCCAAGTGCAGAAGAAATGTGGAAAACTTTTTGGAAGCATGCCGAAAATTAGGAGTACCAGAGGTAACGTTAAACTTGTCCCAATAACTATGTTTTAGTAAAGATTTTCTTTAATATATCTGTTTGAACCCACTAAATAGATGTACAGCTTTGTACAACTTTTTTAGTCTCAGTCTTTGTTGAGGAATAATATTAAATAAGTTATATAAAATTTTAGTTTAAATTGCTCTATTACAGTGAAATAAAAGTAGCTTAAACCAGTATGTTCAATTCTGAGGAAAAAGGGAATATAATTTCTTTAAGGTTTTGAAATAAATGTGAAATTTCAAACTTGAAAAAAAAATTTAGTCAGCTTGATTCTCTACGCCAAAGGCAGAAATTGCTGAGGGTTCCGTAAGCCTTCTGTTAGGTTCCACAGGAAAGAATTTTGGAGCTGATGGTTTTCTTTATCCAAAGATCTTACACAAAGCAGACCTATAGTTGACTAGTCACTTGTTGATTTCCATTCCCTGTAGTCGCATTTTGGGTATGTGGATCAAAATAATCAACATTGAAAATATTGTAATGATTGTTATTATTATCATTCATCATTATTAATAATAACAATGTTTGTATGTTGCTTGATGGTTTGTTAACTATTTGCATTTACATTTTCCCCTTTCGTCCACTGTACACCTATTTGTCAATTCCCTGTAGCCAGACCCACTATAGTTTGCTACTTTTTCTTTCTCCCATCTTCATCCTCAGCCAGATGGCTGATTTGGGGCTTTTGAAGACTGTGCTATTAATAACATAAAATTATTTCTCAGGGAGACAAAAGCCAATCCACTCAAAATCTGGGGGTAAGTTGAGAAGTGTATCGTCAATGTGATAAATGGAAGTGGATAGAAATTCTATTTCTTGTAATTGTCTTCTATCTTTTCTAATGTTCCAGGAGTATAGTAACTACAAACTTTATCACAAGATGCTGTGTTTGAGTATGTGGAGGAATTACATTTCAGCATAATTCTACTCAGTATAGGTGTTAGTTATTGAAAGTGAGAAAGGCTTTTCCCTCTTCCTCCCTTCCTTCCTCTCTTTCCTTTCTTCTCTCTATCCTTCCTCCTTCCTCCTTCTTTCCTTCTTTCCTATTTTTTAGCTTGGGACCTTTGAAGGGGAGGAGTTAGCTGTGGGCTTCCAATCTTATTTGAGGAAAAGGAGAAAATTATTAAAGCATCTTTAAGTCAGAGCTTCGCCAATAAAAAGAAGCTTACAAGTTCACTTTTTAAAAGAGCATTATCTTTATATATGGACTAAATGTCTTGTGATCAATCTAAATGTCTTTCAACAATGTTAATCTGTGTGTGTATATTGTATGTGTACATATTAATATTGCATATACATTCTTGGCTTCAAATGTTTGTGAAAATTCTTACACACAAACCTTTTTTAATGATTTGACTCTGTCATGGGCTAATAAGATTTCCCATGTGTGACTCAAAGCTATCATCCCAGGTTTCAGAGGATAAATTATTCATGTCTGTATTAGAAAACACCGATGAGTTATGACCTAATTCCCTGTGATATTTTTAAACTCATCGAAGTTTTCTTGGCTTACGGTGATACAAAATGAAATGGAAATGCCCTTAGGCATTTATTGTGAGTAAAGATTGGTAATTATAATTTCCTTTTAAAGTGAGGAAAAGGAAATTAAATTACCATAGAAATGCAGAGAAAATTTTACCGTGATTTCTGAATTATGCCCCTAGCACTAGTAAGCAATTTATAATTCTTGAGAAGGTTGAATTACAAGGGGTAAATGACCTTTTTTGCTCCTGTCCCACTTAACTATGCTTAGTCAGAATTATATCACTTAGGCTATTTTTGAAATTATTTGTACGCTCCAAGGTGATTTTCAAGTTTGTGTTGTGTCTATATGGGTGCGTGTGTGCGTGCGTGTGCGTGTGTGTGTGTGTGTATACATCTATATCCATCCTGATGGGCAATCCAATGGTATTTTACTGGTGACTAGAGTTACATTAATTCATTGCTACTAGAAAAAGTCTGTTGATTAGGTAGCAGCTGAACTGGTTTAATGAGATATGTTAAAGGAAGGAAGGAATATTCTAGTGGTAAACCAGAAATTGCCAATTGGAAGGCAATTGGCAAATCTTTCTGTATGCGCAGAGGAGCATGCTTCCATCTCACAGAATGCGTGGGGAATAAGTTATTGGAAATGAGGAAATGTTTTCATCTAGGAACACATTGCTAAGTTGGGGGAGGGGGTGAAATGACTCCCCCGCACTTAGATAGTTACTCTTCTATCACTAGTTAAGAGGGTTGATATTTTGAGTGTATATGTGGCACACCACAGTTGATATTTCCACTAAAAAGATAGTTATATCACAAATCTAGTTGTGGAAATTCTCCACTTGCAATCAGATATTTTGAAAGCCTGGTACCTAAAAACAGAGACCCTTATAACATTACATTTTCTTATGTGCATCAAACAATATTTGGGTAACAAAATATTCATTCATTTCCCAGTAACAAAAATAGTTAATTCCTCCTAATTTGCCAACTTTTCCTGCTTTCTTCTCCATCTATAACTTATCTGCATACACTCATAAGTCATGGAGATCTTGAATTCTGTATTTTTTTAAGCTAAATATCTAATTGACAATGATGAATCATCCTGTAGAGCCTGAAAAGTCACAGCTGTGCTCTAAGCTGAAGTTTATTGCCCCTTGTAATAGAATCACCGTTTGAAACTACAAGCCAAAGTCAGGGTCGGCAGCTTATATGATTTTATCAAGTTCCTGTGGGTGGAATTTGGTTGCTGAGCAGATTTAGTTAGATTATTACATGTAAAGTAATACAATGGGATGGAAGCAATTTTAAAATTGTTCCAATTGCTATGGTTTATTATATTTTCTTTAGAAGTCCCCCTGGACACAATGCCAGGTGTCTGCCTCGGGTTTGGTAAGGTTCATGAAGCATTTTATTGTGTGCTTTATAGAGTGCTTCTGGCGTGGCTTACCTATAAAGGTGGCTTCTTCAAACTGGCTGTGTTCAGAACTCCCGACAGTGGAAGCAGCCTAGTTTCTATGCAGAAGATGGGAGTATGTACTAGACAAGTAGGGTAACTCTAGACCTCTGTCTGTTACTGTGATGTTTGGATAAGACTGGATCCATGCCCTCGAATCTTAGTCCAGGGAAATAGACGGGCTTTGGAACAGCAGACGCCACTGATGGAAAGAAGTTGATGATGGGGTTCTGGAGCAATTCTGTTAGAGTGACAGCAGGCCTAGTTAGCATCAACTGTGAGGGATTCTGGAATGAGGGAGAGGTTTGCTAATGAGAATACCAGTGAAAGATCCTTAAAAACAAACCAGAAATGGCACTCGCTGGTAAGTTTCTCTTTCGGCGTGGGGGATGATGTTTCTTCAGATAGTTCTTTCAATACAGGTTGCTTCCCTTTCCTGCTGCCCATTTCCAGTGCTTTGGTTTTTTGGTTTTGTTTTGGTGTTTTTCTGTTTGGGGCCAATTCCCCAACTAAAGGGACACAAATTGAGTGAACATAATCGGGAATCAGCATGAGAGTGAGTGAGGGAAGAGTGTCTGTGAGCAGGGGGAGGGGATGCAGAGGTTTGGGGTGAATTAGCCCCACCTGTGCTGTTAACTAGTTCCGTGCCCCAAGGCAAACCCCCTAAAACTAGGAGCAGTTAACCATTTACTGAGAACTTCCTACACATGCTTCATCACAAACGCTCACTGTTGAGAATTGGAAATAAATGTTTCATTACCATACGATGAGGAAACTGAGGCCCAGAGAGGTTAAATAATTTCCTGGTGAGCAGCCAAGCTGGCATTTGAACCCAGGTCTGTATTATCAAGAGCCCACCCTCTTTCCAGCACACGCATAGGTTCTCTGGGACTGAGTTCCCTGCTCTGCAAACTGAGGGTGTTGGACGTAAGCAGTGGATTTAAGCCCCATTCTCCAGAGCCCTTGATTCTTTTGAATGGCCTGCACAGGAGGTGAGGGAAAACTGGGTGGAAAGGCTACAGATCACTCCTACCCCCTTGCTTCAGCCAGAGCAGTTTCTCTTTTGCCTGAGGCATATATTGGCTTTCCAGCTAAGATTTCCTTTGGGGGATGGAAATGTGTCCTATTGCTAAACATAGTTTGCAAATCACTGGACCCCTAAGGTTTCTTTGAGCTCTAATATTCCATGAAAACTCAGTTACCTCCTGCAGCTCCATAATTGCCTTCCCCCCTCATCAGCTACACAGCCATGCATCATGGCACCCTGGAAAATCTGAGCATTGGGTGATATTGCTGGCACCATCCCAGAGCCCCCTGTGGTGTTGATGCTGGTGGTCAGAATCTGAAGTTGTCTGTGACCTCTGGTGCAAGCATCAACTTGATCTTGAAGACAGCCTTACCCTTGGTGGGCTTCCAAATTCTTCACCATATATTTTTTGTTTCATGCAAGAATCTGAGTCCAGTTAAGCGTTGGGTCATGAGGCTGTTTGTGGACATACCGAGGCTTCCTTTGCCTCCTCTGAGTCAGCTTGGCCATTCCTGTCTTCTGACCTTGATGTAGAGAATTCATGTTTGGCTATTGGGGGTTTCCAAATTGATCCAAATTTAGGGCTATTTTAGGGCTCTTATTGTCTCAGGTCAAGAGAACTCTCTGATTTATGAAGCATCAAAAATATTAGAAAATAGATATTTATTTGGTTTACCAGGAAAATTTTTCTACTCGATTTTAAGCAAGTAGCCTTGGCCCCAGACCTCTGTAAGGAGCAAGGTTCTTAATTTAACAGACTTGCCCTCCTTAGATGAAGCGGGAACTTAGACTAGAAATGCATCTCGTTTTCCTGCTGCCCAGCCCTTCATATTCATTACTGTCTCCAGAGAAAAAATAGAGAAGAGGATTAAGGACAGTCTCTCCATCGACAGTGGTAGACACCTTGGCCTTTCAGGGCCACTTCTGCCTCCCTGGGCAGCACAGAGGCCTAGGATCCTTACAGGACTGTAGGAAGTGGAGGGTTTTCATTCCGTGTCCATAAGGACAGGTCACTTGGAGTCCCTCAGCTTCTGCGTCAGCCAAATGGGGTTAAAAATAAAACCCTAAGGTACATTCAGACGCTAAGGGTGGTTGTGTTGATGTAAGTGGAATTAGGACTGAGTCTTCTTTTCAGTACCTTTTGTAAAATTTGCATTTTCTTGTCTTTTATAGTGAGATATTATATTTGAATATAATAGTAATAAGCTTCTTACTTTACACCTGTTGTGAAGGTTTAGGAAATTATACATATGTAACTGATCTGAATTTTTGTTATTGAAAGACATTCTGTAAATTGAAGCTACTATTTTGTTGTTGTTTTAATCTTAAGATAGGAGAAAGGAGTTCCTTCTCCTCTTTGAGCCTTATGTCTCTTTTTCTTTCCCAAATCAATGACTTAGTATGAATTTAAATTATAACTAATAAACACGTTTGGAGGGGTTGAGATTTTTATTATGAATTAATTTTAATTTTCTACTTATATTGGTTAATTCTGAGGTTGAATAACCAGAAGTGAAAACTGATATGTTTATTGTTTTAACAACATCAATTTTTAAATTCCTAATTTATTAAAAAGAGCCAGTTTCTAGCTTGTAAAATCAGTCCATCATCTGTAACAGGTAGTAGGTGTTTACCATTCATGGAGGAATCCTTTGCCACTGTGTGTCTCCTGGTGGCAGAGTCCCCCCTGATGGCCTTCTGTATATGCATGGTTGAGAATAAACCCTTTAGAAGCAGCATCTTCAAAAAGTTTTAAATTACATTTCAAGATAAACAAGCTTACCGATGTTAAAGTTACCCTCCAAGTCCATAAAATTGGCGATAGTTTTTATATCTTTGGAGAAAACTCTGGAAACCCTTTCATGCTTCAGTCCACTCTCCACCACATTACGCCCTGTCAGTTAGGGCTTTAAATTTTCAGAATGACGAACATTCCTATGCTATGATATTCTAGATTAAAAAAAGTACTTGGTAAGCATATTGACTTTCAAAGTTAAAATTATATTTAAATAAATTAAATATATTCTAAATTTCCTAGTATTTAGTCTGTGTTACACTCAGAACACCTATAAATTAGAGCTTTTGCCAAGTCTGTCTGCGTTTCTGTTTGTATCTGTAATATTTGGGGAACCTGAGCCAGTCTTGAGTAGTAACCTTAGGACACACACTCCTGTGTTGACTCGAAGAGAATCAGGTGATCTCTAGCGATTGGGATTTCTGTTCACTGTGGTGGGAAACAGCATCTGCACCTGCCTCTGGGGACTGTCCTTGTATTAACTGTGTTTTTCAAATGCTTTGTGATAATTACTAATGTCCTGTAAGCACATGGTGAAATTTTGCCTCTTTAAATTTCCTTCCTTTTTAGTATTTCCCTATTTTGATATTAAGAAAAAATTAAGTCTAATCTCTAAGTCCCTCTCATTAAGACTCAAATTTGGAAAGCACAGGGTCAGAAAGGTCCCAGTTTCCCCTAGCAATTTCTGCCCTGGTTCCCACTGTAGCATCCTTGCCGGGGGCTGCTGTGAGGCTGTGGGCTGGTGACACGGGGTAGAATGAGAGAGCAGTTCTCAGAAGCCACAGCAGCCCGTGCTCCACACATTACGGTGATGCAGATTTTTGCCTACCAGACAATCTTAGACCCATGCCTTTTTCTTTAGAATTGTAATTTAATTTAAACCAGCCACCATGGGCTGTGAATCTAGGCCCTGTCCGCTTTAACTGAATTAAGCCCAGAATCTGTGGCATCATGAAATTATTTCTAGGAGGAGAAGAATGGTCTAAGTTGCTCACTTACGTGAGAAGTGCAGTACTAAATTAGTACACTGAAAACTGCAAAGAGGATCTGACCCAAGTTCTTTGATGGAGTTGCTGGGGAGCAGACCAGACATTTTCCATAGGGTTCTAGGAAAATATAGACTGGAGATAGAATGATTTGCTTTTAACAAGGAAATACCACTTTTGTGAAAATCACATTTCAGTTTGCGGATGCCTTCTGTCTTACGTCTGCTTGGCTTGGATTTCACTGGTTAAACACAACATTGCAATAATCGTTCTTATTGCAATGGGAAACCTCTTCTCTTAGATGTTTCCCAATCTTTAATCCTTGACCAGCATCTCTCTCCCAATGAAATCCAGTCTACCAGTAGCTGTTGTAATTCTTGGGAAAATAACAGTGGTAGGTTGGTTCCTCCAAATCCACTGAGAAAAGATGCATGATCTGAATAGATATAACATGATTTATTAATATCTTTAAAAAAACTTTTGTTGGGGCCAGTCTGGTGGCATAGTGGTTAAGTTGCCACACTCCACTTTAGTGGCCTGGGGTTTGCATCTCGGGTGTGGACCTATACACTGCTCATCAAGCCATGCTGTGGCAGTGTCCCACATTCAAAATAGAGGAAGACCGGCACAGATGTTAGCTCAGGGCCAGTCTTCCTCAACAACAACAACAACAACAAAATCTTTTGTTAAGAGTATCTCTTCAAAAATTAAAATGAGATTAAAATGGTTATCTTATTCAACTCACTTGATATTGTAGCATTCCTGCTCACCTGAAGACATCAAGCTCACCTTCAGAGGGAACAAGCAAGAAAAAAACCTCAGTCTTAGAATCATCTTTCAGTTGCTCTGTGATTTGCATCTGCTTAGCAGTGAGGCTAAAACAAAGGACAATATTGTAACAAAGTGTGTTATAAAATATATATTATATATATATTTTAAAATGCTTTGCCTAGTTTGGAAATAAAGCTGCATTTATGCAATATGTCACAAATATTTTCAATCCTTGTTCCGTTTAGGAACAAAGCCACAACTTTTCTTGCATAGTGACATATCAATTATAATCACCATTAATTTTAAGCCCTGGTCATTTCTGGTTCAGGAATTCAGTGTATCAGAAAACCATTTGCTTCCTGACAGCGGTGGGCATCCAGACATCAGCTCAGAAGACAGAGCATCTTATTTTTGCATTTAGTTGATGAAGTAGGAATTCTGCCTCCTTACATGTGACTGTCAAGAAGCCAAAACATGGAGGTCCGTGCCCCCCAACCATACCTGTTTAGGGGTGAAGAAATTTACATGACAGCTCTATGTGGGATGTGCTTTATTCTAACTACATGGCTGAGAAGCCTCCTCTAGTCTTTTGGTGTATATGTAGTTGCAAAAATGTGAAATTTAATGTATTTTTGACACATATAGGGACATAATCAGAACTGTCATTCCTCAGAGTTTATCAGTAACCCTAAAAGGAAGATAAATTAGGTGTATGTATTACCTTTCAGAGGGAAATACTTTATATTGTCTTCATAGACCAGAGTAAAAAATGCATTAAGAGAATGGTGAGGAAAGGTGGGCATTCAACTTTAAAGTTTATATTTTTTCCTTTAGTAAGGTTAACGCCTAAAAGTCCCAAATGAAAAGCTCTTGTTTTAATGCCATTGGTGAGCACATGATACCACTTGAATATTAAAACTGTTTGAATGCCAGAGTGACATATACATTGCAGAACGTTCTATTCCTCAATAGTGAGATTTTGGGTGAAAGATTTCTTTGTCCTGTTTGCGTAGAACACGCTAGATATGCTACTTTTCTTTTGTAAAGAATTAAAAAATCTTTGATGGTGGAATGGGTTATACCTGCTTAAAAATAAGGGGTTACTCTTGCCGTTTGCTAGTAACCAGAAATGTGTGCTTCTTCCAGCTGTTCTTCTGTGTATTTTTAATTGTATGCACTGTCTCTTTCTGTTCTAATGGCTGCCCTCGGAATAGGCTGACCTCTGCTCTCCGTATGACATCCTGCAGTTGGATTTTCATCACATTCGAAAGACTGTTGACACTCTGCTGGCACTCGGGGAGCAACCCCCACAACCAACTTCTGCCCTCCGCTCCAGGGACCTTATAAGCTTCTGTCTTGTCCATATTCTCTTTATAGTGCTGATCTATATCACTTACCGCTGGAGTGCTCTGTCCGCGTAAGGCCTGCGTGCGCTTCCAGACGCTCTGCTCTGTCACCTGACCCCTTACAGGGTCCTTCCTCCATCTGAGCCTTTGCCTTGCACACTTCCATCCCTGGCATCTCTACTCTCTTGAGTTTTGAAGCTGAACATTTACAAATCAGATTTTCCAGAAGCACAAACTTTATAAATATAATGCAGTTCCCATTAAATGATTTCTCTCACTTACTGAAAAACATTGACAACAGAGTGTGTCCAGACCTCATGCTTCCTCATCCACATGGTGCCAGCAGCAGTGCTATGCAGTTCCTCTCTGCTCTCACCCAGTGAGCTTTGCTGCCCTGGGTAGAGTGGGGGAAGGTTCCAGAACAGGAGCAGAGGGGATTTAGCATATGGAAATCTTTTCTTTGGGTCAGTATTTAAGTCAAATCCTAATTCAGGACTGGGCAATTGAGCTGTAGAGGGGCCACCTTGCAGAGGAGACAGAAAACTAGCATTTGGGGCCCAAATTGGTCTGTAAAAGCCTTTAATAATACCATTATTGACCAAGTTAAAAAATACCATCTGGAGAATGACTGCTTTGCTGGCCACTCGATTGGATTCTTCCCTGTTTCCCACAGTGGGAGCCATGAAGGGCACCCAGGAGGGTTGCTCTCCATTTCCCCCCTGAGCCAGCCCTCTGCCCTGCTGCAGGAGAGGAAGGGGTGCAGAAGGGGCGCTGGGGAGCTGGTGGAGCAAGGGGCCATCGCTGTTAGAGAGCCTCCTGGAGGACTCACTTGCACACCACTGTCCGTATAGTATTTTTACTTCTTACTCCTTGTTTGGTCTACTCCAAAGCTCTTAGCAAAAACGTTTTCTAGAAGGGATTTCTATTTTTAAATAGTGTAATGGGTTGTTTTGCTTTTTTGCTGCATCACATCATAACTGCAGGTCCAGAATGTATTGGATTTGACTGTGTTCATTTTCAAATAAAGCCATGAGTCATGGAACATTCTTGGTCCTGGTGCTTGGGTTGCTATGGCAGGAGCCAGTAAGATTTCTCTTATTTTGGAAGAATGTAGTTTCTCTAATGACTCAAAATTTCCATGTAACCTTTGATTTCCAGTAACATTAGCAAGCCGCTTTTATTTTTAAATAAGCTTAAAGGATTATATATTAACTGTATCTGCTTTTGGAACAATGTAATCAATTTGTAATTAAAAGAAAAAAAAATTAGAATCTTATCTAGGCCAAGATATTCCTGGTTCTGGAATGTCTTTTTCCAATACGAGAAGGCCCTGCTCCAAGATTAAGTCAGTCTCTATGCTTCAATCTACATCTCGTTGCCAGATATTGTTTGTTAAGTTGGGGAGATGATGGAGTTAACTTCCTCAAGATACATGTCTAGTTTACTGAGATGCAGACAGTCTTCACAGATGGCTACTACGAAGATAATTTTATTTTTCTGAACATTTCCATGAATCCAGGGGACTTGACAATATGGAAAACCCACATAGTTAGAAGAGTATATTTATAAAGATTCTTTGTTGCTGAATCAGATCAGATTCTAAAACAGGAAACATTCTTTATATGATAATATCTTGAGTTAACTGAGCTTTTTCCTCCTGATTTTGTGTTGATTGGTGAAATGCAGGGTATATGGAAGTTAGCTAGTTAACCTCAGTTGTGTATAAATAACCCACAGATGTACTGATTGCCTTTGGTGCTATCTTGTACTCCTTGATCTGTAACACAATAAAATCCCTTTGTACAATGTCATACGAGCACCCTGAGCCATAAATTGCTTAATAAACACATTTTGGGTGATTAGTCCAAGTTTTTATTGGGCCATGAATACGTTGATTTGTGTGTACTCACAGCAGTGCTCAGCATTTCCCTCCAGCTCTGTGGTGCATTGAGGCTTCTCTTTAATGGTCACCACTGTTTGTTTTATTTTCTTCTTTATGGGGGGCAATGGGGAAGAAGAGAGATGACTTACTGGGTGGCCACTTGAAAGAAAATTCTATCAATAAAAACTGTGTAGAACAATTATGTGAGATCAGATTTAATTTTCAGTGTTGACTTGTCATTGTTCTCTAGCGACTTTCGTGTTTCAACTCTGGCACCGAAGGATTCTTTGGATGCACTTTCATTTCTCGTGTCATTAATGTCTCTGTGCCCTAATGTGCTGCTCCTCTTGGGATCTGTTGGATGGGATTTTTTCATCAGGTAGTATGGTAACTAGCAGAACACAATTAATGCAGACCCTGAGGCAAAACTTTGAATGAACCTTCTTGCCCGTTATCAAACTGTTGGTTTCTACTCAGAATATTAAGCCTCTCCCTGGTTCTTCCCTAAGGTCCCCATGCACCAACTCACATGCCAGTGCGACGCCTGCTGTTCCAGTGAGACCAGGGACCCCTGGTGGACGTGGTTGTCATCTGAAAGGTGGTCAGGAATTTAGCTGTGTGATTTATACGTGCATTCTAAATCTCCTTCCTCTCACAAGAAAACCCCCCTTTTCAGTACTTCCTTCCAATATCTGATAAGAAGAACTACGTCTTTATTTACATTTTCTTTTTAAAATCAAAAAGTCCATTTGAAATAGAAAGTTCTCCTTTCTCTGGTTCTTCCAGTTGGTGGCAACTTTCCACTCAATGTCAGGATTTCCAAAATATATGACAACTAAGTATTATCTATTAGTTCTTTCTATTTACGGATTTGTGGATCCTAGGCAGCTCGCCATCCTTGGGGAGATACACTTACGAAAGGGTGGAAAGGGGCTCCTCAGAATTCAAAAGTAAGACAGCTGAGTAGGAATTTCATCAATGAGAGTAGAGAAAGAAAGGGACTTGATCTCTTGATGCTATTTACTTGTGAGTAAGAAATTAAATTTAGTGCAGGGTGGCTAGAGTCCTCTCTCTAAAATCCGTGCTGGTCCCTGTCATAAGGGCAAGAAGTCATAAGGACAAAGGATGTTTCAACTACATGGTAAAAGTAACAAACAATGGATTAAAATTTCAGGAGCCTGAAGTGATTTTGAATTAGGTGAAAAATATCTTAATGTGATTTTATTTCAGGAGATTAAGTTGTTAAAATTAGGCTTCAGATTTTGAAATTAGTTCTTGATAAATAATCAGTTAGGTACATAGAATGTGCCCTTTTTTCCTTCTTTAAGACTGTCAGGCTCTAGTTCCTTGGCTTTTCACTGTGTTTTTGTTTACACTTGGGTTCATTCATTCATTCCTCAAATATGGAATGAGCACTCGTTGTGCGAGGCCCCGTGGTAGGCCTTGGGGAGAAAAAGGTGACCATGAGATGTAACCGTGTCTTCAAAAATTTGCCTTCTAGACCAGGAGTTGGCAAACTTTTCCTGTAAAGTGCCAGATAGTAAACATTTTAGGCTTTGTGGGCCATACAGTGTCTGTTATGACTGTTCGACTCTGCTGTTGTAGTGTGAAAGCAGCCATAGGCGATTTGTAAATGAATGGATGTGGCTGTGTTCCAACAGAACTTTTACAAAAACGGGCTTTGGGCTGGATTGACCTGCAGGCTGTAGTTTTTGGATTCCTGATCTAGTGGCTCTAGTGGACAAAAAGAGAGGAATTCAGTGTGATAAGGACCTGTAGTTGATCGGAAACAAGATTCTTTAAAATACATGGACCGAAGACCTGACCCTATGGGGAGCGATGGTCTGTGAAGCCTTCCTGGAACGTGATGTTTATACGTAGACCTAAGAGATGCGTGGGAAGGGCCAGATGAAGGGGGCACGGGTTAGGGAGGTGAAAGAAGGGGTAGATGTGTGTGGAGAACGAAGTGTTCTAGAGAAAAGAAGGACTGGAAGGTAACATGGCTGGAAAGCAGAGCATCAAATGAAGAGTGACAAGAAATCCTCCTGGTCTGTAGGAGTTTGACATGGTCTCCATGTTACACTGGTAGAAATGGACTCTCAGAGTGCCCAGCTGGCAGAGCAAGAACTTGAAGCTCTCTGAGGTTAAAATAATGCAGACAGTTTGTTTAGTGGCAGATCAGTTTAGTGCCAGGACTTGACATTTTAGAAACAGACTGAACAAAATGAAATGTGCTGACCTGAGGGACTTCCTTTTGTTCAGCAGCTGGCCTGGAAGTAAGCCTGTGACTGTTTGGGAGCATAAGAAACTATAGAAAGAGGGGAGGCAGGCAGTGGCGGTGATCTGCCACTGCCGCGAGGCGTTTTCTGCCAAAACAAGATGTCTGTCCCTCGCTACACAGAGAAGCCAAATGAGCTGAGTGGCAGAGCTAACACCTTTCACCAAGTTGAGGGTTCTCTGATCTCCACCTGACGTTGAATTTGATGGGACTTACCTGGATAGGACTCCGAGGGTCCAGGGGTCTCTTCCTGTCTGCTGGGCACAGAGGAAACAGACCTGCTCGTAGATCAAGGCCTTTATGGAAAGCAGCATAATGTGGAAGGAGCCCAAGTCTAAGATGAAACGTGTTCAAATCCTGGTTCCAGTACTTACCAGCTGTGTGAAGTTAGCAAAGTTACTTAAACTCTCTACATCTCAGTTTTCTCATCTGTAAAATAGAGATATTATATCTCCATGGCAAGGTTGTCATGATGAAATAAGCAACAGAAATCTGTAGCATTGGTGCCAGGCATGTGGGAGGGCCTCAGAAGTCTTTCAGGGTTAAGATTTAGTCTTTATGGCTTGCCTGCCTTTTCCAGCCTTGTTTGGTGTGGCTCAGAAGAGGAGAGGGTGAGGGGATATGAGGGAATCATTGATTCCACCATCAGAGAAGCAATGCAAAGCATGAGTTCTCCAGAGGGAATCAGAAGCATTATTTTTATGCAAGATACTACTTTGTAGACAGACCCTGCTCTGTGCCTTAAAAAGAAACACAACTAAAAGGGGCTCATGGGTGTACTAGAATAGTCTGCTGCCACATTCTCAGTGAAAGCCACTAAGATCCTCTAACAATGAAATTTAAATGCATTTGAAGTCAGTGTAAATGTACAGCCATCTCTGCTTTAATCCTTTATATACAAGGTAGGGGGCCCTTCTCTGTCATTTCTCATCCAGCTATAAATCTATAGCAGTTCCTTCCCCATCCCAACCTCTAGCTCATTTCAGGGCTTCCCTCTGCTGTGGGATATGCAGTGACAGGACTAGTGTGATAGGCAGTGGCCTTCTGGCCATCCACAATACCCCTCCTCATTTCTGGCAGGCTCTCCTTGCTCATCCTGTTCACCAGCGCCTATCAGTCTGCATCCCAGTCCTGTGATGGAATAACCAGAACTGCCATTTTTTTTAAGATTTTTATTATCTTAGGCTAGTCTTCTTAGGTACCTCCAACCTCATCAAAAGTAATCTGGAGGCACGACTGGGCTTCTTGGGGGGTCTGAAAAAAAGATAAAGGCAGAAAGGTTGAAAGGGTACCTTTTCATGTCTTCTGTTTACTCCTCATCACCAGCTGTAAGGGCGGAAGGGAAAATCTCGGACTCTGCACCTGGTTTAGGAATGAGGAGACCAGGAAGGTGAGATGCCTGGGAGAAAGGATGACCTTAAGCTAATTCAGTGTGTGACATCTCCAAACATCCTGTTAGCAGAAGGCTGAGGCCTCATTACCTTCCCATCCCTGTCTTGCTGGAGCCGCAGCCCTTCCTGACCATGACTAGCTTGGAACCTCAGCTCTGCAGACCACTGAGCCACCACTCGTCAATGGGACTGGGGCTGTCACTAATGAAAACATGTTGCCTCTCAAGCAGGACTCAGGATGGGTCACCTAGCCCCATAAAAACCATGTTGTACACAGCGTTTAGGCTCTGTGCAAATATTAGTACCAGAATTCGGGAACATTTGGGACTAAACGTAAGTAAACACTGAGATCGAAAAGCAAAATGTCTTGTTCAAAATGCCTCAGGCAAATCCCTTGCTAAATTTCCATTCAAGATCCTCGCCCAGTGTTCGATTGGCATCTCAGTGTTTTTCTCACTGATTTGTTGAGCTTATGTGTCATATAAAACCCTTTGTAATTTGATGCAAATACTTTTTTACAGTTTGTTGTTTATCTTTTAATTAATTTGGGTTTTTTTGACACATGGAAGCTTTAAACTTTTAGGCAATCAATTGATTTTATTTTTTCCTTTGTGATTTTTTAACCTTTTTTTAGCTTAGAAAATCCTTCCCCATCCATTTATCAGAGAAAATATTAAATATTCATCTATATTTTATTGGGAAGGGTGTTTTGGGCTTTTTTAACATTTAACTCTTTACTTCATTTTGAACTGATTTTAGTATATGGTATAAAGTGAAGATTTATTTTTCCCCTAAGTAATGTCTTGTACCAGGAGCTTAAGCGTAATTAGTAGTCATTTATAATTTCCTACCAAGCTGGATATGGACTTGGGTGCTGCAGGAGCCCTAAAAATGAGGAAAACATGTCCCTGCCCGCATGGAATCAGCTTAGCAATGAAATGTGATTCAGGTTGTTTCACAAGCCCGTGGCAGATGGTGTCGGGAAGATACACACTGACACCTGGCTGTGGCACAAGGAGGAAGCACCGTCCATCCTTGCCTCGTGCATGGCTCATGACTCACAACCCAGACAGAACTTTCCATCCGTTTCTCAGGTTGACATTTGGCTAGTATGTTGACAAGCAGCATAAACTTCATGCCCCCCTAAAATACCATTGATGACAAGATGATGCAGTGACATTCTGTGCACAGAATGATACACAGCAGCCACTTGAAATAATGGTTAAAATTGCTCTTTAAAGAATGGGCTGTCTTATGTTGACATGTGGCCATTTCATAAGGTCTGGAATCAGAGTCTGAGACACTCTAAATTCGCCACAAGTTAGGGAAGTGGGAGGAAGAGGGGATAGCAAGATGCTGGAAACGTAGAACCTACTGACATTTGGAGGTAGTGGAACAGGTTATTGGAAATGTCATGCTTTGTCCTTGAAAGATCTTTTTAAGAGAAGAATGCCTGTGTTTGTGGTAACTTATGGAGAGTCCTTCACTGAGGCAGCAGGAAGATCTGGTTCCTCAAGCAAGAGTCACACCAAGAGAAGCAGTTCTGTCCAAAGGCCCTGATTAGCTTCACTTAAACACTGTGTCCATCACCTGGGGCTGGAAGCAGATCCCACTTAAACTCTCCTTAAAGACAGCGGTTGTTGGGCTGTGGAGAACACACTCTCATCGTGTAGACAAGAGGGAGTGCTTGCCAGGGAGTCTTTTCCCAGCCAAGGAGACACACCCTGGAAGGAGGTTCCCCTATATCAGACCAGGGTCAAATGACAAAGGAGTAAAATTGTTTCATCATGTTCTTGTGTAAACTGTTGGGTTGAGTGTGCAAGGTGCTGCCCTCAGAGAGTGACTCGCATTGACTTTTTTCCTCGACTAGTATGTGCTGGACATTCTCAAGAGCAAAAATACAGCATGAGAAAGTAGCAGGACATTTGTGTCTTTGACACTTTTATAAAAGAGTCTTAAAAGAGAGGCTAGTAAAGGCTATGGTTAAAATGACTTATTTACAAGGCTGTTCATAAACCGTGAAGAAAGGATACCAGTCCACAGCAGGCTTCCTTTCCAGAGATCACAGGAAATAAAATGAATTAAACCAAAGTTTATGGTCAGTAGAAGAATGTGTGGTCTATATAAATGAGTATTTGAGTTCCTTTAAAATGTGTGAGAGGCTATTTGTAATTTTGCTTTGTAATAATGTAAGCTAATATGTCCTTGGTGTGTGGTTTCCAACCGACTCTGTGTAGCTCAGTTATTTAGTGTAAAACTTTTAAAAATGTTTAGATCTTTTGCAAATTTCAGGATCTTTGGAACATCTCTCACTTGTGGAAAGTCATTCTTTTCTCTGCAGACACAGAAAAGATCTTTGCAATGGGTGGAAAGCAAGGGAGGGAGCACCGTCTGAGGTGATCAGACAGGCATACGACAGAGCTCTACTTGACTCCTGTCAGTGGTGTTGCAAGACTTTATGATTAGATTCCGGTCATCTAAAAAATCAATGTTTTGTTCTTCTTCTTTTTAGGGAAAGCTGTGCCTACCACATCACATCCTTGAAGAGAAAGGCCTGGTCAAAGTGGGCATGACCGTTCAAGCGTTACTAGACATAAGTGTAACGAAGGCTCTGTTCACATGAAAGCAACTCCTCTCCTTTGGGTCAGCTCAGACTCTTCTCCCATCAGAGATCCTGAACTCTGCTCTCGGCACCTGTCCCCCCCAGCCACTCACTGCCTGTCAGTTCCCCGACTCTAGTTGAATTGAAGGAAGGACATAAGAGATTTTCCACCTTTCAGAACTGACCTTAACTGACGTTAAGACGTGACAGGTATTTATCGTAAAACCAGTGAGGGAGCTGGCCATGAAGAACCGAACAGCACATCAATGCCTTGTACAACCTCCGTCATCCCTTCCACGCTCACCCACTGCCATTACCAAACACCAAGCACAACCGTCTTACAGCAAGATGCATTTGTTTTATTAAAACCAGACTCATTGTGTATTTAGTGGGGGGAGGGGGACTCAGTCAGGTTTTTCACCACCAAATTTTTCAAGAAGTTTCTTGAGACCATTGCCTTTTAAAAAACTATTTTCGACATGCAAAATATTTATATAAATATTATTTATTAGTGAGTTGTTATTCATCCTTTGGATGCAAATTGTAAATTAGGAAACTATTTTATTACTGCTTTTTTGTGGTTAAACACTTTATTTTAATATTATAAATATTGAGTTATTTTCTATCCTCTTTGGTGTGCAAGTAGTTCTAGGTCTCAGTAATCATGTTTTCTGGTGTACATGACTCAGAAAAAAATTAAACAAAAAACAGGTGCTTCTGTGACAGGAACTGTTTTCTGGGGAGGCATTATTTACACTTTGGTTTATGGGACATTGGTCTTATTCATAGTTCTGCATTCCATCCGGTTTCCTACATTCCATCAGCCCTGTTGTCCTCTGATATAATGAACTGACTGAAATCAAGAGAGCACCCCAAAGTTACTTGTAAATAGCTGTGATGGAAAAAAAAAGACATATTAAACTTGAAGATAAAATGTGAACAAGTATATTTTTGGATTCATACTTATTTTGCTATGCACAAAACATTCACATTTTAACACAAAGAAGTAATAAGTGTTAGCATCATGTGTCTTGAAGTGTCTTGAAGTATAATTTTGCACTGTGACTTGAGTAATTAAAGAAAGTCTAGCACCAAAGGTAGATAATAAGGAAATGGTATAGGAAAGTGGAGATGATAAAAAGTTTATTGTTTAACCAAAAAGTTTTTTAAGGGCAGCTTCAACTGAGAGTGATCAAGAATTACTTAAGGCATGTAGGACCTGGATCAGGAAACCAGCACTTTCTTCAACTGCCACTTAGAAGAGGAAATGATTCTGAGATGCAGACATGATCGTTTTATTGTAACTTACTTGGTGGCTTTCAGAGTAGTCCATAAAACACTGCACGATTCATGGTCTCTGGTGTGAAACCGCAGAAGTGAGTCTGTAAATTGGTGGGGCAACTGCATGCCACACCAAGGCGGGCTCAGGAGAAGGTTAAGTAAGTGACCCTTGTGAGGCTGAGTGGCCTAGGAAGGAGCAAGTTCAAACAAAAGAATGACTAGAGAATAGCCAGCGAAGGAAAGGGAGCCGTGTGGGTCTGAGAGATTCACGTAGGCTTCACAGACACAACAGCCTGTTTTAGGCAGGTGCACGCGTGTGCATTGGCCCTACTGTTACAGATCTCCCCATCACTCATCTTTCAAAGTCTTGTAGATGCTGACTGCATCCTCACCTCTGTGAAAAGCCATTATAAGTTTTAGAGAGCAGCAGCCACAATTTGTCAGACAAATATAAAGGTAGACACAAAAGAAAAGACACCAGGAGGACGGTGTACATTGAACACAGACTAACACCAGCCAATGCCAACGCTGCCCCCAGCTCTAGGCAAGAGGGAGGGGTGACTGAAAATGGTCATTTGGATTGGCAGCTAGCAGCTATTTTCTATCAAATGTACTGTGCACTTTAACCTAACTTAAAATATATTTTAATATTTTCCTGTACTGCATAAATGCCTGTTTGGTCAAATCACGTAATGGTGTAAAGAAGAAAGACATTTTGAACAAAGAGCGTATTCCATGTAAGCAACATTCAAAGGTTGACTATAGAGATAGGAATTTCGATTGCTGCCCCTTGATGGGCATTCAGAATGCAGGGTCCTGAACTATTTTTTTACATGTATATATGTCAACATGAAGCTCTGTAATCCTTGTTTTGAGAGATTTTTTTCAAAATTAAAATATTTCTTTTGATATTAATTTTCAGTATTTTCTTGAAGTTGGCTGTATAATACAAATGGCTTCAATATTTTGTAAAATGGCTTTTTTCCTTTTAAATGCAGTCCTTGTATGGCTAAGACGTCTTCCAGATCCTTGTACACTGTTTATATGTGCAATAAAACATGCATGCCCAGCTGACAGTACCATAAGTGGACAGAATGTACATAGTGCAAATATCCTCCCTTTTATTATTTAACAGCCATTAAAACTTGGAATTTGTACAAACCTTCTTCTGATTGACTTAACCTGTCTGGTGCAAAGTTTGACTGTGGTCACAAAAGAAACTATAGGTGTCGTTGCTGAAACAGATTGTAGCAATCATCTAGTGTAAATATATATGTGTGTGTGTGTGTATACATATGTCTATACCTAAAATATGTATGGATGTATATATGTGTGTGTAAAATCAGGAGAATGAATATATACATAAAATTAGGGAAATGAAATATATATATATATATATATATATATATTCATACCTCAGGACAATTTTTTTTCCAAACTAAATCTTACCTGGACCCACAGAACATAGAGCAGTTAAAGGCAGAGTTGCTATGGTGGGGAGGGGGGAGGGGCAGAGGTGTAGACTCGGGATCCCCCACCTATCCCTTGAATGGTGGCTCCAGAGCGTCTCTGAGGAAGCCTTAAGGGCTGAGGGTATGTTGTGAAACCGCAGGGTCTGGTCCTCCCTCCGCAACTGCCTCCTGTGGAATCTGACACTCAGAGACTGAAGTGGCTGCCTTGATTACGCCTCCCTCCGATAGAGCCAGACCAGTGTTATCGCTTTCCCCCCAGGTCCAGCCTCCTTCTGGTAGAAGAGTAGCTGCCTTGAGGAATTCAAGTGAAAATAGTCACGGACTGTTCCTGTCTTCTTTCCCCAACCTGCACACACAGCACACAAGCCCCGGAGTCCTATAGCCCGAGCAGGGACTACAGGGACAGTGTCACAGCCCTTCATTTAAGATTTGTGACTGCCGAGTCAAGAAGCCCTGCGTGGCCCATATGTTCTAATTGGGAATGCTGCTGCTGTGCCCAGCTCCAAAATCTTAGTCATCTTAGCCTTGTGCACATAACAGAAATCCAGCACTTCACAGACACTTAGCATTGCATGTTGGCTGTAGAAAGTGGGAACATGTGGAGGGCAAAGGGGGGAGGGATGGCAGCAGGAGCAGGAGCACTGGGGGGAGCCCCGCAGGGGATGCTCATCCATGCAGTTCAGCCATGTGGCACTGGCCACAGCTGGAGATTGTCCCAGGGACTGAGTTCTGGCCAACAGCTGCATCTGGGGCTTTCTAGTTCTTCCTGGGTGAGGCTGAGAGATCCAGGCAGCAATGACCCCAGGGGGCTGTTTATCTAATCTTCCTGTCTTCCACACAAGGAGGTCAGCTGGCAGAGATCAGGTCCATGGAGACTGGTCTGGGTCGTATGAACTCAGGGAGTTATCTTTGTAACTGGTACTCCCTGAGCATGGGACATGTGTGTATAGCCGGGTTCCACTCTAAACCACTATCTTACTCCCCACATGCACACACTAATGGACCACCTGAATGGTCAGTCTTTACTGAGTGGCTACTGTGGGTCAAGTGTTTTTTCTGAACTATAAGTTCCGTTAAAACAAGGCTGCTTGTTCGATTTTGTTCTTTGTTGATTCTCCATTGCCTAGGACAGTGCTTATCATGTAGTAGGCACTGAAGAGATGCCAGTTAGAAGAATCAATGAACTTTACACACATTTTCTCAAAAATTCTTACCAAAATGCTATCAGGAAGGGACTTGGAGTGGGCACTTACAGGGTTGCCCACCTAATACCACATGCATCTAGGAACTAACCCTGCCTCATATACCATGAGATTTTTGTGGTTCTTACCTGATGCTGCACACCTGGCTATTGTCTATTGGTTCAGAAGCAGCCACTTTATTCACAATCGACCAATAAGTCTCTTCCCCAGGATCTTGATTCTTTCCCAGGTGACTGAAGATGAAAGATGTAAAACTTGGAAAAGATGTAGAAGATAAACCTGACATGCAGAAAGAAGTAGGGACAAGAGACAGCAAAGCAAACCCTGGTGTTTGCATTCTGGGGCCAGTAGTAAAAGAACTCTGTATTTCTGAAGCTGTGTAGTCAAACCTTCCCTGAGGACTTCCAAGAGGCTATGATTTGCATCACATCAATTCGAGCTGGGCTTCTTATCGCTTCTAAGAGTGCAAACTAATAAAGAGAAGCTGAGATGCAGAGTATTCAGGTAACTTGTCCAAGGTCACAGCAGGTAACAGAGAGGGAGGCAGTCAAGTTCAGCTATGTCAGGCCTGTGTCCTTTTCACTGTACCAATGGGCTTCCCAGCAGAGCTGACCCAACTGAAGTTTCTAGAGTTAAAGAAAAATGTCCTCGACAACAGTTAGGATGTTTAGAGTTACGAAAGAAAGCATATTGGTGTGATAAAACCCAATAAGCTGAGCATATGGGGACTAGTTGAAACGCCAGCTAAGTCAGATGAAGGCCAGCGCAACGAGAGAAGAAAAAAAGAGATTACAAAACAGACACAGTGGCAAGGAATAATGCCTCACTTGACATGAGGTCTGGGGAGAAGCCTCCAGATTCCTTGCCATTTCTCTCTCCCAATTTAATAAAATACTGCTTTTTTTTTTTAATTGTGGAATTTTTCTCTCTGTCTATCAAAGCGATACAG